CGAAGGCGGGCCGGCAGACTCACAGTCATCAGCAAAGGATATGGCAAAACAGCCTGCCGCTGTTTCAGAACGGTGGGAGTAAGATCCAGGCTGAGGCCCTCCGAGAGATGAGGCGTCAAGGAGATTTGTTGCTTCATCAACATCACCACAGAGTGAGGGAGTGGGTCGAACGTGTGCCATGACGTTTTGGCGAGACAGCTTGGCAGCAGGAAACGCAGGCACAGGCCGGCGGCCGGGCCTCACAAGACGGTCAAGCAACCCAAGGTGAGCAACAAGGCCAGCTGAAGGTCTGTCACTAGGGTAGCACCGGACGCCAGGGTTACCAGGGTTCTCCACTGAAGCGACACGGTAACGATCATGGTCGAACGAAATGCGCAGTTTGCTGATGTATCCGGTGCCGAGAATACACTTCATGCTGCACTTCATGACACAAAATGTTTCAAGAGTAACGACACCCAGGAAAGTGACAGGGAGAAGCGCCCAGAAATCAACTTTTACCTTGGCTCCGTTTGCGACTGTGGCGTGGGACTGTCCGTCAGAAAAAACAATCACCCGGTCAGGGGTGACACCAGCCTTCGCGAGTACAAGGGCAAAGAAATCAGTGTCGATGACGTTGTTAGACGAGCCACTGTCAAAAAGGGCGCTGGTCTGTTGGTCGAAAAGAGCAATGTTGTCGGTGAAGTGGGGCGAGAGTGGCCTACCAACTTTGTCGTCGTACAGCTGACGGTCAATGGTGGTGAAAACCTCCTGAAGACGACCGAAGGTGCCAGAGTTGAGCTCATACGGTGTGGACGAAATCACGTTGAGCGCAAGATCCATGGCACACTCCATGAGATCGTCCCCGAGCTCAAGAGCGATGGCTTGGATGTCAGGACCCGCAAGCCGGTGCCGCTGGTGACGGAAGTTCTTCCAAATGTACTTTGTGAGGTCAGGGCACACCTGGAGAAGCTCAAAAAGAACGAGGCCATCAACATCCGACGCCTTGAGGATGCGCTCAAACAAGTCTGCTTTTTCCGATTCCGGCAGAGCATGAATGGCCTCAAGCTTGAAGAGAGGGAGACGCCCAGCCTTCAGCAAGGCATTGTCGTAACGAGAATGATCTCTGGTGAAGAGAGCCTTGGAGTCCTTTAGGTCAGACGGGAGGCGGTCCAGAGCATCCTTGTAATCTTTTAAGGGTGCATTCTCCGCAACGGCAGAGGCATCGTGGATGTGGTTGGTGACACGGGTTCCAGGGCTCACGTAGTGGTTATCACCCAGACGGGGGGGGTGAACAGCCACACGAGAGCTGGGGACGTCAACAACAGCGCCCGTGGAGGATGCGGAGTCAGTCGGCCCCACTGAGGAGGGATTGGCTACAGCCTTGGTTCGCTTAGCAGTGGGGGGAGCAGCGGAAGATACCGTAGAAGAAGCGGCACCACGTTTTGTCGCTTGAGGCAAAGCAGGCGGGGGCATGTCTTCACGGACATCACGACGGGGGCTGCGTCGCGGCAACGGAGCCACTGGTCTGTCAGGGTGCTTGCTGTCGACAACAGTTTTCAAGGCGTTGATGTTGGTCTTGAGAGACTGTCGGCGAGGATCGCCTTCGGTGGCGTAAGCGGGCTCCATGAGGTCATTTCGGACTGTAGCGAAACACTCGTAAAGCTTCGTAGGCAATACTACGTTGTACTTGTTGAGCAATCGCTGGACCGCATCAACAAAGTAGACACGGCCGGCAACTGGGGAAGACGGGGCCATAACAGCACCTACAAAACCCGCTTCAAGCGTGGAGGCTTTGAACGTGCCCGGGGGAGCAGTTAAGCGAGCTACGAGCTGCATGAAGGCTGGGTGTGCCACAAGGCGCTTCATGTTGCCACTGTAGGAGCCTGACACAGGCGCATCAATTGCGTAAGTGACGGGGAGGGGTGTGGGCTGTTTTGCCATCTGGAGAATGTGCTGGTGGATTGCCTCTTTCGTGAGCTCAAGCTGGGAGTCAGTGGAGTCAATGATAGTGCGAGGCTCGTCGTAGGAGGAAAACGTATCAGACAGAAGATCTCGAGGCACCCCTCCTAGACAGACACTGAACGTGCCGGGTTGGAGAAGGTCCTGGAAGTCATAACCAGACGCAGATGAGTCAGAGTCATAGCTGTTATCCAAAGGCCCGCCTGGGTCTTCAACGTGTACAAATTCAACGGCATTTACGCGGCCAGCTAGGGCAGGACGCCACTGCGCATTGAAAGTTCGAAGTCTAGGCTCCATAAGCGGATTCGACCATTCCTTCTGCTTCCAGGAAGTGTAGAGAGCGCTCTGTTTTAGAGGGAAGTCAGCATCAACAGGCGATAGATACTTTTCAAAACCCTGGTAGCCAAGTCGGGTGAAAGACTTGAAGCTGCCAAGGTACTTGGCCTTGACCAAGGGGCTGCCTTCGGAGTCATCGCAGTTGACCAGTGCATGGGCAGTGGAACCACAGAAAACACAAGGAGCCTTGTCAGCTGCCCAGGAGGTTGAGGCATCCGAGGCACGGATTGTGGGTTTCTGCACAGTCTCAGTTGAGACAGGGCCGTCGGCAGGCTTCCTGGTGGAACGACCACGTCCCGCAACGTGAACGACGACTTTGTCAGGTTCAGGCGTGGAAGGCTCAGGTGGGGCGGAAGGCTCGACCCACATCCACACGTCTTCGAAAGATACCGTGTGCTGTCGCCATCTCAGAAGAGCCTCATCATTGAGATCGTCAAGTCGTTGGACATGTTGGGTGATCATCTTGGCGAGGGGCTGGATGAGCTCCGTGGCAACTTGATGGTCACGCTCAGGGTCGGAGTCCATGCCAAGGCTCAGCCAACGAGTGTTGTCACGAGGGATCTCGCGTCCGAGGGCGGTGCCCAGGTGAGTCGGAGCGAGCTTCTGCAACTGGAGACACCGAGAGAGAACCGGCAGAGGTGAGGAGGTCAGAGCGGTGCTCAGAGCAGAGAGGTACGCACGTAGTGTCTCGATAGAGAAAGCGGTGTGGTAATCTTTGAACCGGAAACGGAGTTCCTCCTCTTGTTCAGCAAAGGAGACAGCAGGTTCGTGGTCAAACCCGCGCTTTCGAAAAAGGTCCCGGAGGAGACGTTCGCAAGCGGTGTTCAGACGAGCGTGGGCACCTGGCTTGGTTGATTCATCAGCAGTCTCTGCTTCAAAGGTGCTTCGGAGTTGGAGGTACTGTTGATCGAAGAGGGGCTGCTTATCGTTGACACCGCACCAAAGGTGGAAAGCCCGAGCTCTGGTGCTCCAACGGATGTCATCCTGGAGTAGGATAAAGGTAGCCACCCGGGAATCAAAAGATTTGTAAGCGTACAACTGTTTTCGGAATTCTTCGCTGGACAAGGAGGGGTAAACCTCGTTCCGGATGATGGACTTGAGGGCGTCGGATTCTTTTCGATAGTCAACAGAACCCGTGTCACTGGCAGCAAAGTCCATGCCATGTAGGACAGAGTTACCCTTCTGGGGGGTGTCGGGTTCAAATTCGGAATCAGCCTTGCCAATACGGGAAATGCCTTCAAGGGAGCTGGTGCTCGGGGGTGAGTCGACACGCTTGCTGAGGTTCGCGATGGTTTCGTGCTGGGCCGACACCAACTGGTGCAACTTTTCAAACTCCCCAGCCTGATGTGTCTTGAAAGACTCATTTGACTGCTTGAGCTCGTCTAAGGCTGAGCGGAATTCCTTGGTATTAACCGCGGTAGCGAGAGTAGTGGTGATCTCCTGGTGGGAGAGCGTCAAGGCGTCCATCTTCGCGGTGAGAGCCTGGAACTCGTCTTTTGTTACTTTCGACATGGTGAAAACGAAAGAACGGAAAGGGAAGTAAAATACGCTGGTACGACAGTAAAGGCACAATAAATCTGGCAGGCTATCACTCGAAACAAAAACGAGGTGTCGTCCACCAGATGTGAGAAAATAAAGTGCTTTGTGCGTACCAGGGATAGGGTAGGTAGTGAAATCTGAGTTAGTACATCAACTCTAGACGATGGGCGTCGCCTGTGTAGAAGAACAATAACTCACCCGGTAACTAACACTATTTCTCGGTGGTCAATGCGTCAGAAGATATCAAGACGGTCCGTTTTGCGTTTAAGCCGAGTGAATGTTGCCTGCCGTTAGTAAATTTATTATGAAAAACCCCACTATGAATACATCAGCCTATACTGATATACCAAGAAGTGCAAGGGAGGTGGTCCTGTTCCACCTGAACGCGGTTCCCGACAGGCGGCGGTACTGAAGGGCTTTGTGAGAGAGGTAACGCCGATTCTCTCTGCAGTCGTAAGACCCAGGTGGTGTGTCCGAGGCAGTATCGCTTTCCCAACTCTAGTAACCTCGGTAGTGTGAGACACACTACCCCTAACGGTAGGACAGCCGGACGACGATGGCGCAGCAATTGGCGAACGCTGTTATAAAACAATTCACTTACGTGCAATGAAAGTTGTTTGGGCAATAAACAATAAATGTATTAGAGCCAGACGATAGACAACAATCCAGCAGATGATGAGCAGGAAAATTGAGTAAGATCGACGTGGCAAGAAGAGTTACAGTTACGCAGAGTTAATAAGGTGTTGGGAGATTAGAGTTACCCTGTCGGATGACTAACTCTCCAGAGCGAGTGTTACACATACCAAGCGTCATGTGCATTGAACAAGTAGAGCTAGAGCGATGTACAAGTAGTGGCGAGAGGGCGCGGTTGGGGTGACATCTGAGCCCGTCAGCGCCAGTCCCACTGGGTTGCTGCCCTTATATCTACACCGGTGGTTCCATCTCTGGTTGCAACGTATAATCTTAACATAACCCCACGTGGGTGCACCGACTGGATACCAACATGCATAACACCGGTAACGGTTAAACTTAGCGTAATTTTCCCCCCTCCAGAAATTAGATAAAGAGGTCACGCTAGAGGTCACGCTAGGACTGTGTAGATAACTGTTTCAGCTCTGCTACGTCCACCTTTACCGGCTACAAAACTGAGATCAACGCCACAGACGACCCAGGTTATACAGACACACATGAACACGGTCTACTCGGAAAAATCCGCCATGTCTCTCGAACAGCAGCCTCTGCTCGACACAACGCCCAGAAAGTCGCGGATCGCCAGTGTTTGGGGCAAGCTGCTTGCACTGGTCGTGTTGCTGACGTTTGTCGCCACGTCGTACGTCGTGGTCACCCTTTCCATGACTAAACCCAAGTACCCCGACCTGCCCAACTTCTATGTGGTCAAGGACATGGACCCCAAGCTCATCCCCAGCCACAAGGACGATACCCGGCTCATCTTGGTTGGTGACATCCACGGCTCTTTCAAGCAGCTCAAGCATCTGTTGGACAAAGCCGACTACAACAAGAAGAAGGACCAGCTTTTCTTCCTAGGTGACTTCATCTCCAAGGGCAAGGACTCGGAGGGAGTCGTAGACTTTGCCATCAAACACAATGCGCTCTGCGTTCGAGGAAACCACGAGGACAAACTCGTCAACGCGTATGAAAAATACCACCATCTGCACCATCAGAAAACGCTCAAGACCCCTGGAGGGCATCACATTACCCGAGACGCACCTGCCAACATTCTCGCTGACGAAGACGATCTGGCCGAGGACTTTACCGCCGAGCAGATGAAGTACATTGCATCGTGTCCTGCTATCATGAGACTGGGAGACATTGCCGAAACAGGCAACCTCGCTGTCGCCGTGCATGCCGGTCTCATGTGGAATGTGCCCCGGCTGGAAGATCAGGATCCCGACGCGGTTATGCGCATGCGATCTCTGCTTCCTCCACGAGATACCGTGTACACTGAGGACGACGATGGAGTGCCGTGGTTCGAGGTGTGGAACGACAAGATTGAAGATCGGCCCAAGAAGGACCGAATGACCATCTTCTATGGCCATGACGCTCGTCAGGGCCTGCAGCTCACCAAATACACCCGAGGTCTGGACTCCGGCTGTGTCAAGGGAGGCAAGCTTAACGCCATGATCATTACCCAGAAGAAGAATGGCAAGTTTGACGAAGAGTTGGTGCGAGTGAGCTGCAAGGAGCTGGATTAGAAGAAGACGGAGTAGTTGTTTTCGTCTTCATGAAAGGATGATGGAAAAGGTGTGTGTCATGTGCAATTCAAAATAATTGCCAACCATTATTGTTATATATATAGTGTGTGTAAGTTATTGATGGCTCCGTGCCTACAAGTAGTATTATTACAGTATTTTCAAATGCCTAGATTTCAAAGATCGACGTGAGTTTTATCGACACGGGCCCCGTAATCTGTAGGAAGCAGTCTCTGCATGGAGCATTGACATTGGAATGAGACATTTGCGGTACCCGGCAGCTCCGACATCATGTGCTCTGGCTTTCCGCTTGTGTTCGTTGCTTTTTGCTCCTGTCAAATATTCTCTTAGGCTTCGTCTAGACAAGCCACGATGTGGCTGATGTAGGTTTGGCACACCACTCGGGTAGAGTGCAGGATGTGCTGCTTCCGTGTGGGACGTGTGTAAGGCAAGGACGGGTCTGTGGGAAAAAGTAATGACTACTTGTAGCGATGGTGCCAGTCTAGTCGTCATGTTGGGCGGCTCGACGATTTACAGTTGCGAAACAACTCCTTCCAGATTGTTGACAACCCGAGATGGTGTTTATCCCGGGATGGTATCATGGATGACTAGATTTACAACCACCCATTGTTCGTCAGCGGCTCGTTAAATCTGTTCACCTTGTGTGTTGAAACGATAGAGCAAGGATGATCTCAGATGAGCCTTGTGTGAGATGAGATCTCGCTTCGCTTCACAGCTGTGTGGAATCGGCCCTTGGACGAAAACAGTGACGTAGTCGGGTCACCTCTGACGCTCTCCACTAGACCCTGTTCTTGTTTGAGACACACCTATACATATACATTAAAAACAGTAGTAGTAGCTGTCATTTTGTATACACAGCAATATGCACAGACAACAGGATGCAGACAGGTGTCGTCACCTTTTGCCAACCCTTGCAGCCAGGTATATGTCTATGATGCCCTCCCCATTGTTGCGGTAGCTTCCTACCTCTGAGTTATTACCAGGAAAGGGCTCAATTTACAATTTACAAAGTGTTACTAACCTGTGTGGACCGCCTTGTGGAGTTTGTGTGTCTTCCATCGATCTCCCTTGTGAAGCACGTTCCGGTATGATGAGTGACGATCATGCCATTACTATGCTTGACTAACTTGTGGCATCTCTTCTACATGACCAGACATCGGAAGTGCTTTTTTTTGTCGCCCCCAAACTCACCGGCGCGTCTCCTTGGTGCAACGTGAATCACCAGAGAGTCACGCTCGAGTGCCTCGTCGGGCCAAGTGCAACCTAGAAGAGGTGCTTATCGCCATTAGGATTTTAAGCGTGGATGCTGCCTATGGCCAGAAACTCTCTTTAACCTAATTTAGGCGTTTGGGGGATCATAAATGTTCGCTTTATCGAACGGGGGACGTTTATGGGGCCGCCCAGAGGCTGCTGAGAGCGACTCCGGTGCCAAAATGATGCAAAATGGGGCGAAAACAGGGCTCTCTTCGATCTCGTATTCCGGCTGTTTCTGAGTATCCCAACTCAAATCTTCTGTGCAACGGTAAGCCCTATTTGGATGTTCCGATATGCATGTTTCTGGTTGTCTCGTCTCGAATCTTGATGCTTGAGACTAATCCATTCTTCTTTATGGGCTCTTTGTGCTCGCGGCCTAAATATAAAAGCCAAAATCTGAGATACGCACCTCGCCAAAGCTGTGTGACTGGCTGAACCCCATTAGACTTCAAGGTAGACTGTCTAGAGTGCAAGGTTACTGCAGAACCGATGTCAATCCCCACATGAGGCCCATTTACTAATATTGACTAACTGTGGGTGTAAGCTCGTCGCACGCATGCCACGTCTTGGCGATAATGGGGAGGACCTCCTATCTTTACGTTGCCAAACTGCACCCTCTCAGTCGAGTGGAACAAGTGAGGTAAATCGGCGCCTGTCTCATTTGCGCCTGAAAGCTAGTGTGGGACACAGTAGCTCGTCACAGTACGTGGTCGACGTCTACTGCATCCTTCGCAGAGTGCGTCCGAGTGTTTGACACACTAATTGGTCTCTTTAGGTGGTCATTACAGACTGTTATGGGGGTGGAGTGAATAGCTGGGCGAATGTGGACGCTAAAAATCTGATCTTCACAGGTACCCTTGGGCAAATCAACTCTATCGATCGGCCGGTGGGAAAATAGCCTACTAGTAAACTCTAGAGAGGGAGTTGGCTCTTGCTGTTATGAAACCGAAGATCTAAAAGAAACGCCTGGACGCAGGTATCTCCACGAATTTGTGCCCACCTTTATTTGGCTACTGTACAGTCTTGTGAACCCACGATCTTCGTTACATATTCAGAGTTTAGATTCGAGCTTGCGCACAACCTCTCCCCTCCATTATTATTTTGATACACGAAAAGTCATTTGATAATTTTGGCTGCTTAGCCGACAGACTTCCATTGTGGCCTCAGGGAAATGAGAGGCCCTTTGGCTCTAATTTGGTGTGCTTGAAATGACCGAAATCCTCTCCCCTGTGCGTCATGTGAAAAGTTGGGCTAGCCGGGTGCATCTTGTCCATTACCCTTGTGCCCTCCCCAGACGATTAAAACCAATCTTTTTGTCCTTTTTCGGGATTGCGCACATCACTGGACTAAATCTTGCGATCAAGATCTGGTTGATTTGCCCTGCAAATGCACTCCCGTGCAGCAGCGGTGGTTGCAAGACAAGTCCAGTTGCATTGCACCACCAACCTGTTTGAAGCAGGTAAATAGAATACTTATCTGAAACCAACAAGGGTGGGACGCTTTATTGTAGGCCTTCGCTCTATTATTGGAATTATCACGTTTCAATGGCGTGTCGTTTCGCGTCGAACCCTGGAAATAAATCACGCCAGAAGGGCCCTTTACGGGTTTCCACTGTTTTGTTTCATCATTTACGGTGATGTGGGTAACATTGGTCGCATGATGAGGGTTGACTCAAATGCAAACCTGGGGACAAGTACATACTACAGACTCGTGGTTTCAATTATTGCGTGTATAAATTATAGAATTGGTTCGCCTATCAAGTGCTGAGAGCCGGCATCTGAGTTTCCCACTGGGGAAGGTCCAGCCAGTCAATGCTAAAGTCCCACATTTCGCACTTGTCAATGTGGTTTTGTAGAAGGCCCGCCAGTTGCTGCAGAGCGGGGAACTGCTTGAGAATGTCGACAATGGTCTTGAGAGTCGAGGTTCCGCAGACATGGAGCTGAGAAGAAGAGAGCAAGCCGAGGCGGTTGTTGAGTAGTTCGCCGAACTTTATCAACGCCTGTTGAGACGACCCGGGCTTCCTTAGAAACTGCAAATACTGCTGGATGGCGATTTTGGCAACGTGACAGTCCATTGCAGCTCGCTGTTGTGGCTCCATGGTGACACACTCCGACGTGGCCGGGGCCTTGTGTTCCTGACCCACAGTAATCGAAGTATGCCATAAAAGAAGAGAAGTGACCTGGTAGTTGTAGGAGTCGAGACAGATGTGGGCCAGATGTCCAATGTAAGGTGGGGACATGAGCTCCAGCAGAATGTAGTTGGGTGGTTCGCTGGAGAGATGGTGAGCACCTGCTTCGTGTCGCAGGTTGGTTAGTACACAGTTGACTCGCTTGCGACGAGGGGCGTTGCGAGAGTTATTTTCGTGGCAAGACACCACAAGCTGGTAGTATGTGTGGGCCTCGCTGAGGTAGACCATGGCCTTGTTGCGGTTGTCGAGGGCGGCCATGGCCATGTGCAGAAAGATAGAATCACAGACAGAGTCTATGGTGACATTGTCGTTAGTAGAAGAGACTCTCTGCATGTGCACCTGCTGGATTTGAGACACCAGAGCGTCTTTACTGACGGCATCACGTGCAGTCTTGAACTTGTGGGTCATGTTAGCGAGTCGAAGGCCCTCCAGTAGGCAGTAGTTGTCGTCCCCAAGGTCCACAATCGGCAGCTCTGTGTAAACGTGTCGGAAGTAATACACCAGTTCATTGATAAGTATGGGGGACATGGGAGGGGCGGTCATTGGTGACGAGCCTCCCCAGGGAGTTGTGTTTCCGAAGGAATAGGAGCCTAGGTCTTCGTCGATAATGCTGCAATTGGAGGTTTCGGGACTGCTGAACACCTCGTTGGGTTCGTCTTTCTTGACAAAGCAGAGATGGGACTCTTCTTCGTTCTCAAAGTGCTGGAATACAATCTCCTCGGTGATCTCCCAGGGCTGGTCCAGAGCCAGCTTGCGCTTTTTGGTGGAAATCTTGGGACCCTTTTTCTTGGACATTTGGTTGTATGTGCAGCACAGAGAGGCCTGAACACACTTGTCACAGGGCTTGAAGATGCCATTGTTTGGTCGAATGCCTTGTTCGATATTGGGACACTGGTGTTAGTGGAGCAAACTTGTGGGGCAATTGGTGAGTGATTGGTACTTACTTTGATCTTGCGAACTCTGCAACTGTCGCATGCCCTTGGCTGTGAGTTGTTATTCTGCTTGATCTTGAGGTTGATGGCGCCAAACATTGGTGTGAGCTTTTGATTGTCTTCGAGCAGCCTGACATAGAAGGGACCTGGCGACTATATAAAAGCTGGAGCGGCGAGAATTACATCTGAAGCCACTACAAAGGTTTCGGGTTGGACGCGCGAAACGAAACAATGAACACCACGCACACAAAGGGCCTCCAAAGCTGTTTGATTTAGCATATGACAAGGTTATATTTTGTGGATAAATAGAATTTTCCAACTTTAAAAACGCAAAGTTGACCAGTGATGGCACTCTAATTTCACTAAGATTTATCCACACAAGGTTTGGGCGCTGGAAGCGAAAAACTGAGTGCGAGCTGAAACAAATGAGCTACGTAACGCAAAAACACAAAGTGATAACGATCGTTTGACATCTTGCTTGTCCATTTGTCACAATTTCGCAGAACCCCATCATCCAGCAGAGGTCTCCCTATAAGCGATCACGCCAAGGATGGCACGGCAATAAACACACACAATGCAACCCTTACAGTAGACTCGCTGAGAGGCTCGCAACTACAGTACACCTGCTTCTAAGGCTATCTAAAGCAAGCAAATATGAGACGGATTTTATAGGACCTCGGCATGACCACGCGTGCTCTCGTGGCGACAGCTCCACACACAGGGTCTCAACTGGTTTTCCGTACCTACAGCTCGCCATAGGAGCCAGTTTTTGAAACGCTATATCTATATCTTGACCACCAGCCCGATTATCAAACACACCTTTATTTTGGGGGTCTATATTCTCACTACTTTTACAAGGTAGCAAAGATAGGAGTGCCCGGCAGTTGATATTCATGATATTCAAGCTGACACGTATCTCGTCGCCGTATGTGATCACAACTGCCTGCCAAAACCTCTAAAGTTAACCCGGGCGTTCCGTCTTCTTGTTGATGTGGTGTCAGGTTTCACACCTGAATACTCGCGAGAAGCACCCTGCCTCAAGAGGAGGCGATACTTTGCGTACAAATAATAATGACAATAATAACAGCCACATGTTTCGAATTGCTGCGGGCTCTCTCAATTGTCTGCCACTGCAGGGTGACGTGTCTCACTGTCCATTGACATTTGAAAGACTGAGCGACATTGAGAGCGGAGTTATAGATACGAGTACTCGAACAGATCTGGGAAGAAACCGAAAAGCTTTGAGTCGTCAACTGTCACTTCCAAGCCGGCTTCCCGTGTTAAGGATGACTCCGTGGATGCTCTCTGGGAAGGAGCACATTGTCAGCAACTATTCCAGTTGTTTGGAACTATTCCAGTTGTTTGGAGCATGCTGGCGGCCTCCAGAATGGCTTAGATCGTCCACACATGTCCCATGTCGCAGGAGGGTGGTTATGCCGGGATTTACGTCTGTTTATGATCTAGTGTTTGGTGGATGCTTCTCCGTCGCGTCTCCAGAGGGCTGGTATATACCAGATAACACGGTGGAGTAAAACACTCGAAATGGAAGAGACAAGGATCGGGGATTACGCTATGTCAAACAAGCTTACAATACGAGTCAAATACAGTATGAGCCTAACGCAACGGGAGTGTGCATTGGGCCGGTGACCGTCTGCGTCCGCAAACATGACGGAATGCCATAGAAAAGAAGATCAGGTACACGGCAGAAGATCAGGTACACGGCAGGCGGTCGAGATGGGCCTTTGGAGTCGTCGCGGGGCCGTCTGCGGAGTACAGATAGGTCCGAGGCTTATCAGAATGGGCGTCTGAAATCGACCTACTGTCGTCCGTGTCTGTTTTGAGTCACGCCCTCCCCTTTCGGAACGGTTAGCAACAGGGCGCCAGAGATGCGGAGCCGTTTTGTTTCATTGTGAAATCTTCGCTGTTGGTGTAATTATCGGATTCAAATATTATGGGCAGCGCTTTGTTAGTTCTTGTGAATGTGTAACGGCGATTGCAGACTGGCGCGCAACTTGCCCTTTTGGACCCAGACCTAACCCCGTATCTTTATAGACTACCGGTACGCTAATCCCCCCCCTGTCAAAGGCAATGTCCACAGACAAGAGACGCACAAAGAACAGCCATCGACTGTATACATACAGTACAACGGTGAACTAGAACAAGAGGAAAAAAGCCAGAATCAATGGCAACGGGCTAATTTCCACCATCTACGTATTTTGTGGGCTTCTAGGTTTCGCTTAAAATCAAACCCCAACTGGCCCAACTCTCACATCAGCCTGGGATTATCCGAGTGTAACTTAATTGATATACTGTCTGTGAAACCTTTTTGTTCCGATCACCCGGGCCCTTCAAGTCACGACTCTCATAACACTTTAGGCTGGACTCTTTCATTAACGGACCTCCGGAACTGGGTGGCCAGCCAGGCCGTATAAGACCCCTTTCGCAGGTGCACAGATGTGTGCTCTCGCCCCCAACTGCAGCTCCCCAAGGACAATGGCACAAGCCTATTAAAAAGTGCTCATTGATGCAGAATAGAGCTGTCCAAGGTTCAGAAATATGTGCAGGATAAAAATGGCAGGACCTGGCGCACTTGATCTCCGATTCCTCCACCTGAGGAGCTGGGGGGAGTGGCCCGGAAAAAGAAACGAGCCGTGCGGTGACGATGATTTGGGGCACAGACGGGATTCTCAGGAGTATACGTAGAAGAAGCAGGTGGTTTAAAGAAGACACTGATATACGAAGGAACAAGAAGAAGCAGACGAAGAAGAAAACAAGAAGAAAAAAAGAAGACTACTCACACGTCGGTTGGCTGTACTTACTATACGTAATTACGGTATGCTGCACGTTTGCCCTGTGTAAACGGCGGTGAAGAACAATGGCGAAGCCTCTCTGGACTACAGAATTGCCGCGTCGACCTCGTTCCTGTGCTCCTTTTTTTGTATCTGGGCTTTTTTGCATATTGCAAAGTTCAAGCTCCAGTCCCCCAAACAACCTTAGCATGGGGTGAATCGATGGACTTGTGCTTGTGGGTCTGGGGTCTGCGATGATCCTGAATAAGACAGGCTGGTCTTTACCGCATGTGTTTCACAACAAAAAAAAAAAAACAAGGTCTCAGATGGCTTCCCCTGATCTACTGGGAGCCTGATTTAAGAAGGCACCCGTCGGCAGGGGACCCCTGATGTGTGGCATACAAGTGCACTAAACAGGACGTTGCCGGGCTTCTTCCCGTTAATTCTAGAACCCCAGCTAGCCTACGTGTCTATCCCACAGTTTAATTTTCTTACCGAGGTTGCGACATGGTTTCGACCTCCAATTCCACGTGCAGAAGAGCGGGATCTCCATTGAAACCGTTGGACCGTTCGGAAGCTACAGCAGAAGTACAGTACCGTGTCTTTGGGCATCTCGCTGTCACCTGCCAGCAGCAAAGAGAGCGACGGCAAGCAACTGGACCTGGTGGACCCACAAAAGCAATGACTGTCGTCAGTCCTGGTTATTTAGACCCCTGTGATGGACACGAACATCTCTCCTCTTGGCGTAGTTAAATGGTTGCCAAGTTCTTCACCAGAGTGGAGACCTTTCTTGCTTTCTTTTTACAGTGTATTACAAATACACTAACAGTAGGTTCAGCAAGTTACGAGGCTGCCAAGCTACAGCCTTATGCCTAGCCGGCAAACAAGAGAGCTATGCCAGGGCGACGTATGGAACATTACCCGGCCGGACCAAACATGACGTAGGTTATCATCTTTTTCGCAACGTTGTTGAAATTAAACTAACGCGCCCACTGGCAAAAGCAACGAGCTTTTGTTATGTCATCGACACTGGCCCTTTGCAAGACATGCAGAAGTCGCAGGGCTCGATCATTGCCGACCTCTGTGCCTTGATGGTGCAGTAGGGATCGAGGTTGAGACGGGATCTGGTCTGACAGTCGTGTTCGTAATGCTCTCTGTCCCTTTAGACCGGATGAAACCTATAAGGCCGATCTCCTCACTGGTAAGACAGGAATACGAGCCAACGTCGCTGTGAGGGTCCCCAACAAGACCTTTGCTGATAGGTAATCAATAGGAGCTGCTGCTGATGCGGAAAAGACTACCCCATTGGAAACCACGTGGGGAAGCACCTGCCGCCTGGTGCTTGAAACCACCAAACAAGCATCACCCACACACACACACAAGACCATTGTTTGCGATGAGCAGCAGCCCCCGTGGAGTGCAGAGCAGTCGGTGGTATGCACATTTGTTCGGCTGTCGGGAACCTTGTGCCATAGATGAACGTTGCCCGTCCCCCCTTGGCAATGAGATGAGATGAGCTTTGTTTTGTGTGCATGACCTCCACCGGTGTATGAGGGTGTGCTTCCCGGTGCTGACGGGCCCAATTCTGTCTCGGTTCTCGGCTTGTTGACGATTCAGGTCATAGCAATCTTTCTTGTCTCTCTTTCTCTCTCTCTCTCTCTCTCTCTCATCTCACGATCAATTCCCTCTCCCTTTGCTCATTCTCCAAACGGTGTTTTCTAGGTTTGCTTGTTGCCATCTCTATTTTCACTATCACATGATACATTAAAGCTAATCCCAGTGCAACAAGCACTTTTCACAACTGCGCGTGCGTAAGGTTAATTAGGCTACAATAGATGGTGGGACACTAAAAAAAAGCACACAAAAAAAAGGGCCAACAAAAACAAGAATTGGTTCTTTGCAGGACCCCCTAAACCTGAGCATAGTATACGGAAATTGATAGATATTGCCTTTTGCTCTTCTCTTTGCTCTCTCACCTGTTGTTTTTCGCCTGTCTTCGGTCCTTCTTCGGAACAACAGTTGCATCCTGGGGCTGTGAAATGCGCCCTGATGATGGAAGCGAGAAATGCAAACCCGGCTGTGCAACGTAAACGGTTTCATAAACCCCCGAATCGAAATAACGATTGCTTGCGTGGCTCCCGATGCGATGAGATGAGATGAGATGAGACAAACGACTTGTTTGTGTTTTTGTTTTTGGGGCCTTGTTGCTGGATCCCGAGTCAGTCTGCGAAACGTTCTTACTAATCCGACTACTGTACTGTAGATACTGTAGGTACTGTAGTGAAGGTTGGTTCGCTTGCACGCCAAGAAGTGTTAATTTGCAAACAGGACAACAGTAAACCCCATAGAACAGAGCTATAGTTGGGGCGTGTCTAGCTCCCCTACCACAGAATGGTTGGGTAAATCCAAAAGACAGACAAAGAATTATGCACAATATCCATAATATTCGCCCCAAAAATGAATTATTCTCTCCTGCAGAGCCAATATAATTCCGAGACCTTATTTTGTTTCCGTGATGCACGTAGTCTAAAAACATGCTTGATGTTGACCCAGCTAATCCAGCCATTGTTAGGACGGATCATTTGTTCTTATTTTTTCCGCAAAAGTGGCCCAAGACGCCTCCTTCGGAAAAAGTAGGAACTCGGCCTTTGAACAGCAGCTGACAGGTACACTCCCAATTGTGCACTCTTTTAAATGCCAAGTTGGAGTCGGCAGACAGATGCCATGCGAGATGCATGTATGAGTTTACATGCTTGTATGTGGGGATGTATTTTTCTCCGTTCATCGACCCTTGTTAGAAGTATATTCGAGCGGATAAGTAGAGAATGTTCCACATGATAAGGGGGGAGCTTCTGTCCTTGTGTAAAAGGGGGCTGCAATACGGCTGAAACCACTACAGTAGTTCGTTGTTCGCAGGTGATATCCACCAAAATTAGGTTTGGGTGAAAAATAGAGATTGATAAGAGTGCACCAAGTGTCTCATAGACCCATTCGCCAAACCATCCACCGCCGATATCGGTAATGAAACGTAATTTCGTCCATTCTCACTGACTGCGTAGTACAGCAGATATGCCGAGGTACCTACAAATACTGTAGACAGCTGAGGGATCAAGAGTTGGAGCCTAACCTTGAGAGAGGCCCAAGAACAAACGAAACCGAAAAGAAGAATAAGTATACTTGTAGCTGGGCAGCGTACACAACAAAGCCAAGCATAGCAGCATGCAAACTGGCCCAAACTCTGCTTGAACATGCTTATGCAACTACAGTACTTTACTGTAAGGGGAATCTGTGCCTTGTAGAATGCGTCGTGGAAGAAGACGCATGTGCAGCTATGAGGTTAAGCGCATGAGCAAACCACCCAAACACAGTTACACACGACTTGCGTAAAGAGCTCCCTCATTGGGATCCCGCAAAACAAAGGACTGGCGACTTGAGCGTTTTACCGTTGGAGACTCGGCCATATGGAACGTACATACAGTTCAATCTGATACCAGTACATACAGCAGATACTCACTCACATTCACACTAAGACTGTATCTTCCAAAAGAGCTACCATGGCTGAACAGGCAGAAAGATGCCCATAGATATCCCAATCTGACTTGTATTATATATGTACTGACGTTTGCTGTGTGATTACTTGTGAATGCGAGCCGCGCTATGAGCTATAAGTTATGATAATCTCTACCTGTAAGGTGGTGCCTTGGCTCTACGCTCGGCCCCATTTGAACATGCGACACCAGTAGCCTGGCATGACGAAGCTAGGGTCCTCCTCTCGCTTCGCAACCATCTGCCGTCTGATTGCATATTCTCTCATGACGAATGCGCTCAGAATCGAAAAGAAGAAAGCCACCGAGGAGTAGACAATGGGCCACAGGTAAGGCTTGTCTCCGTCTCGGCGAATTTTGATAGCAACGACTTCGGAAAAGAAACCCGGGATGGACATTCCAACCATTCCCATGCAAGACAATGTCTGGAAACTCGATAGCCCCGCAATCTCAGCAGCTATAGGGCCAAGACCGACCCACACTGTGCCAAGGACAAAGCCATTGAGGATGGAATACGCGATGTACATGCCGTAGGAGTTGGCCGGGAGCCACAGAGCGTACTCCAGCACAATTACCAGCACCGCAGAGAGAATCACAATGTTGACACGTCCGTATCTGTCAGAAAAGTGGCCAATGAAGGGCCGTCCAAAAGCCATGAATGCAGAAAGAAGAGCAGAAATGTTGGTGGCCTGGTTATCGGTCAAGCCGGCAGCTTTGGCAGCTGGAGACATGGAGTAGAGCATCACCACATAGCCCGCCAGCGAGAAGAAGACCCAGAGGAAGTATGCATTGGTCTCGACTTGCTTGAGGAACTTGAAGTCCCACACGGCAAAGGTTGGTTTGACTTTTGAGATTTCTCGGATCAGAATCACTGCTGTCATGTTAATGACAAAAGTCATGATTGCAGTAGCTCTGAAACACCACGCCAGGCCCCACTTATTGATCCACTCCTGTGCTGCCAGCATGATCAGCACTCCTCCGATACCTGACCCCGCCACTGTCAGGCCATTTGCCAGCGATCTCTTCTTCTTGAACCACTGTGGAGGCACTGTGACGGCCGGAGCAAACAGGAAAATGATTGCCAGTCCCATCAACAGACCCTGGGACACATAGAGGTGCCAAATGTGAGTGGCAAACGAGGCCACAATGCAGCCTGCCAATTGAAGGAACGTTCCAATCAGCAGAGAGGGCTTCAGCCCGAGGTTTCTGATAGCCAAGTTGGCCACTGGGGCTGCCAACAGACCAGCTCCAATGCCAATTCCTCCAATGTATGCATAATCGAGTGGCGTTGCCCCTGGAAACACATCATAGGAGAGGTAATGTGCGAGGAAAATGCCATAGGCCGAGTTGAGGCCCCATCCCGTGCCACAGACGCCCATGGTGCATGCAACACAGACCCATCCGTAGCCTCCGTCTGGAGGTTCGACCTGATCGGGCGGCAGATCGGATTCTTCTCCCTTTTCCAGGTTCGAAGGAGACATGATGGTGCAGATTTCCGTCTGTCCTTCGTTGGTTGAGTCCGCAGACTGTTCTTCAAACACTCTTGTCTGAAGAATGCCTGGGTTCTTTTCGTCCATGTCGGTTTATGTCGTGTTTTCAGTACTGTACCCCAGTGTCGCGGCGACCCCCATCAACTCATATATAGCATGACTCTTGCAGAGCGTGATAAGCTTTTGGAGCAACTTGTGGAGTGTGTGGATTGGTGCATTTCTGTGGTGGTTTTTTCCAGCGATTTCAGCCCTGGTCGGTTTCCAGCTGCCCAATTCCTTGTCTCCAGTGCATACAGGAGCTTGGTATGTCCGTAATCCAGCCGTGCAAAACTCTGTTGGTGTGGGGGAAGTTGCAAGTCATCGAGCTAGGCCTTTGTCTGGGATGCGGGGTCGGAACTTTTGGATCCGGGCCCCCCACTTGGAGGTGAGTTGTAGGGTATCTACGGTCGCTTAAAAACGACATTATTACGGCGGTCGCGGAATTAACACGTATTATCGGTGGTGGGGGTCACCAACCCTCTGCCCAGCCCGTTAGCCACAGTGCACCGTTGGCCCGTAAACGCAGATCATACTGGAATTGGTCGCATCTAGTGAGGCGCGCGTCCATTGGTCCGTGTTGGAGCGTCAGTACAATCACCAGTACAGACCTGATAAATGAGGATAACGATGAAGAGAGATTTTATAGATGGATTCTGGAGACGACGTTTGTGGCTGGCACGGGTGTTTCCTCTTACGGTTACTTGTAGCTCCCTCGGCAACGTCGTAATATTCCTCGCTCCAAGTGCACTATTATGGCAGCAACGTTGGGTTCGTATAACTGAAGATAATGCAGGTGAGCCAAGCGGTTGACCTGGCTTTTTTGAAAAAGTGGTGCAGACTTGTGTTTTGTGGCGCAAGCTGGATTTTTGCATCTTTATAAATACCGCCCGCTTATCCCCGCCGTCGCTCCTCTGGTCTTGTACAGTATTTACTGCAGATCACTTTGCACGGCTCAATGGTGGACGCTGCATTTGCCACTCGCCACTCCCACCTTATCTCCGTCGCGACGGACTTGAGATGCATCGAGACAAATGTCACCAGGCAAGACTACGCAGCCACATGGACTTTCGAGGGAGCAGCTTACCATCTCGTAGAGCATTAGGAGGCGCAATAATGGTGACTGGGCAAGTATTACCGGTGTGACGCGAAACAAACACGTCCCAAAGAAGATCAAAGCCTCACTAATAAAAGCCAGGAGAGACAACCCTTGATTCACCCAAGACACGTGTGGTAATTACTAGCTACAGCAGATCGGTGTGCATAGCTTGGATGGCTTGTGATGGTGATATAGCCAGCTATGTGGCTCTTATGGCTGAAAATAGACCTCCCATACACCAAAGAGACGTCTCCATCAACAATGCGATACATCATCTTATCTCCACTTGCCACGCAGGTATTTGTCACCCTTCATTTAAGTCCGCCTATAACGGCATTTAGTTAAAGTTAACTATCGCCACCGCCCATGCGGGTCCCAAGTCGATAACAGATAAATTGACGCGACCTGGCGGGATCATAAAAACTATTTCTCGACACGAAAATCTCAAATGTCGGAACTTGAAGAGACCAGAAACGTCCGAATGAAGCGGTTCCCGTACAAGGAGGCGCTGCGACAGTGGTGGAACGCGCCCTCGGCCGAGAAGGCCGAATTCGACGTTCTGTCCATGCTCCCCTTCTTTCCTAAGCCCGATGCCACCCGAACAGCAACGTCCAAACTCGTCGACATTGGTAAAAACAGATACATCAACGAGTTCCACATCCAAAACACCACCAATGGAACCCCCCATCGCAACCTCGTCATGCTCCACGGCTACGGAACTGGCCTGGGGATCTTCTTCCAGAACTACGACCAGATCTCCTCTACACCCGATTGGAACGTCTTCTCTCTTGATCTACTCGGTCTAGGCCGATCCTCAAGACGGCCCAAATTCAAGATCCAGACCTCGGACACAGACAAGAAGATTGTGAACGAAAAAACCGGCGAAGTCGTCTACCCTGCGGTGATCGAGTCAGAGAACTACTTTATCGACGCCATTGAGGACTGGAGACAGGTGCGCAAGATTGAAAAATTCACTCTTATGGGCCACTCCATGGGCGGCTACCTCGCAGCTGCCTACGCCTTCAAGTACCCCGAGAGAGTAGAAAAACTCATTCTGGTGTCCCCCGTAGGTGTGGAGAGATCAGGAGACGTGGAGGTGGACGATTCGGCTTCTCTTCTGCAAGGAGCCAAAGAAATTGCCGCTCAACCTGTTCCCGACGAACGTCTGTTCCCAGCCATCACCCACGACGAAGGCATGAAGGTCCATCCTGGCGCTATCCCTCCCCAGGAGAAAATCCACTGGCTTATGAAGTATCTGTGGACCCACCACTACTCGCCCTTCATGCTGATCCGACAGGCTCCTCCGGGAGTAGGAGTGCGTCTCATGTCAGCCTGGTCTTTGTGGCGATTCCAGGATCTCAGCGAAGAGGATCGAATGAAACTCCATCTGTACTCCTACAAGCTCATGGACAGCAAGGCGTCTGGAGAGCTGGCTCTGACTCGGCTTCTCAAGCCTGTAGCACTGGCTAGAATGCCTCTACTGGATCGCCTTGACAAAATCAAGTGTCCCACCATGTGGATGTACGGAGAGAAGGACTGGATGAATGCCGAGGCAGGAGCCGAGGCCACCCAGACTCTCAACCGAAACGCCAGCAATGAAAACAACACCCAGAGCGTGTTCAAGCTGGTCAAGAGAGCAGGTCACCATATTTATCTTGATAACACCCGAGCGTTTAACTCTCTGATTGTCGACTTTATGACCCGATAGAGTACATACTGTACAGAATGTACACTCACCACGCCACGCTAACTAGAACCCCTGACAGCTTCACAGTATATTATATAGATTAGAATACACAGATTAACACGAGGAATAGTAATAAACATCCCCAGATCCACTATGGTACTTGTACATCACCATATCTTACACGTCATAATACGCCCCACGGCGGTGAAACACCACACTACACGAAATGCCTCGCACTTGTAACCAATGAACATGTATTTTTATCCCATTAAACCAAAGTCTTGACCTCAAAGAATCGCTTAAGGTAGTAGATCTGGAACAGAGAGTTGACGGCAACAACACCCAGCTGCAGAATGTTCCACCACTTGACTCGGGCGTTTGTGGACTCAGCAGTGTTTCGGTGGGTTCGCTCTCGAACAACAATGTAGCTCTGTTCGTTTCGCACCTCCTGCACAACCTGGTTGAGCTTGGCAATCTCCTGATCCAGAGCGTCGTCGGTCAGCTGGTTGAGATCAATGACAATGACACCATGCACGTTGAAGGTCACATCCTTGGTACCAATGCCGGAGAACTCATTGGAGAAGCAGTACTCGTATCTGCCGGGGACCTGGATGGGCACCTGGACGTCTCCGTCAGGAACCTCGTGCTGCTTGACAACCTGGTTTCCATGGGGGTCGTTGATCTTTGTTAGTTGTATGGCACGATAATTCGACGCGTCACGCGCCGAAAACGATTCAATCCACCATTCCTGCCGTCCCTTTTCATATAATACTCACCACAAAGTCGACAGCAAGCTGTCCACCGGCCTGGGGGTCTCGGTTTCCGACCTGGAAAGACACGGCCAGAGTGTCACCCTTCTTGACATCCTCGTAGAAGCACTGTCGCTTCCAGGGCAGCAGGAGCACGTTGTGAGCGCTGACCACGGAGGCCAGCGCCAGAACCAGAAGACAAACGAGGAACTTCATGTTGTGTTTTGTGTTGGTGTTGGAGGAAGATCAAGGTCGCAGTGCACAGGATACAAATGACACGTTAAAGGATTCCCAAACCTAAAAACGCGAGCAAGCGTAATAGTGAATTTGAGAGTGGAGACTGTGAAGGGGGACAGTACTTGAATACAAGAGCGGAAAATTGCTTAGGACCGGAAAAAACGAGTTATAATCCAATATTTACAAGACAGGCATGTTTTTCTCCAAGAATTTGACAGGTTACGAGTATTATTGAGATCACTTGTACATACTCCTCACCCAGACCAAACCCATACATACCCAATAAGGTGTATAGTATGTACAAGTACAACATAACATAACATATATACCGGCTACGAGTAGCTAGCAATATACAAAATGATCGACTGTGCCGAAAATCCCAATCTCTATCACGCGACATTCCGTGTCTCATTGCGTTTACTGTGCGTACACCCTCCAGAAATCACATTCTCCCAAACCTAACCCAGATTTCACGGGAGTATATACCTCATCGCATGACATCAGCGGTGCACCTCCAGCAGAAGTACAGTACATCACCACCCTAACAAGCACGCAACCATGGGATACGGCGAGAAACTGGCCTTTCGAAACGATCTGGGTGGCAACCACTTCACGCTAGCCCAGCCTCGAGGAGGCAAGGGTCTAGACCCCAGCTTTGTGCCCCGGCAGAAGCCTGGGTTCATCACAAACACCGCCAAACGGGCCATTGCATACATTTTCGTTTTTTCGCTCATTGCCACCGTCATGTTGATGCAAATGCGAGACAACTCTGATCCAAACGAGCCCGAGCTGGCTCTGGTCAAAAAGAAGCCTGCTCCGTTGAGAAAGGACCCTCGAGAGCAGGAGGTTGTGCTGGGGAAGCCCAAGCCCAAGCCCACTGTTGCTGCTAAGAAGGAGGATGCCAAAATCAAGGTGAATGCTCGAAAGGGAGCTCCTGCCGCTGACCCTGCCCAAGTGCCTGAGAAGGCTGAGAAGCCTGCCGCCAACTCCAAGGACACAAAGCCTCTCAAGTCTGAGGCTGGTGGCAAGGCTGTTAAGGCCGACGAGGCTGACGAGGTAAACAAGGCCAAAACCCAAAAGAAGTTGCAGGATCTGGAGGAGGAGCTGGAGGAGCAGGAAGAGGAGGAGGAAGATGACCTTGAAGAGCTTGAGGACTACATGGATGCAGACGATGCCGCTGGGGCCGCTGAGGCTCGAGCTGGGGCTGCCACTGGGGCTGAAGACTCTAACGCCAGCCCCACCGACCTGGCTGAGAAGCTGGGCAAGAAGCGGCCGGCTTCCGATGCCCAGGCCAAGGCTATGGAGGCCAAAAAGGTTGAGGACGCCAAAGCCGCCAAGTTCAAGGATGAGCGTGCCAAGCAGGATAAGGTCAAGGCCCAGCAAAAGCAGGTACGAGATGAAGATAGCGAATACGAGGAGGGAGAAGAGGGAGACGAGGGTGAGGGTGACGAGGAAGAAGAAGAGGAGGAAGAAATTGAGATTGGAGATGCCAAGATTGCCAAGGCCTTGTTGTAATTAGTAATTTATACGTCATATGATAACTACTGTTGTTTTGTGTAGTGTTGTGTCTCTCAGATTGTGTGTGTACATACTGTACAATGCCGCACTCACCTTATGCTGTATCATACTTAGAATTCACGCAAGGTTCGTTTTAGTAGTGCTCATTATCTCTCGCGCCATGGTCATGTTCCTCATTCTCGCAGCGATTACGATAGGCTTGCAATGGCTTCCGGAGGTTTTTCCACGTCTCCAGCTCTCGTCCAACTACTATCTGTTTCAGACCATTGAATGGTGGCTCAGTCTGGTAACCTGTGTGACGCTGTTTGTGGCGATTGACATACGGCTGGCTCATGTGTTTCCGGCCGCCAGTCTCGTTGTCACGGGCTACGCAAACTACCACAAGCACCGGTTGCTCGACCTGGGGGTTCTGATTCTCAACCGACTCAAGAAGGGCTTCTTCTACCACTTTCAACATAATGGTGTTTGACGTGACACCACTGGAGACTACTGCAAGGCACGGCCAAGCAGTCCAGAGAAGGGATGAAGAGACATGTCAGAGACAAGCAGGCCAGAAATAAGAAGGTCAGAAACAGACCCTGGATATTATTATTTCGGGTGACACTGGCAGCTTTATGGCCTACTCGTAGCTATCGTTAGCTATGATGCCTCAGCACCACAAAACTGCACCCAAACATCCTCAACTACGGCGGTGTTGGAGCAGTCACGTGGCCAGACACCGAATGTACGGGGTTGGTTCCCATGGTGAGCATTTCCATTGCCTTGTCTAAGTGATGAGACCCTGAATGACCCCCTATCACATACTACTTACTGTATACTGTATTTGGCTCACAGCAGGAGCACGTGACCAAACACGATATAACCACCACATTACGACATGACACCACAGTTGCGGGATACCGCCTTCTCGTATGTACCTTCAATTCATCTACTACAGTATTTATTTATTCTTCAATATAATTCATTCCATTTATTATGTCTTGGGCTGTACTACTGTAGCTCTTGTACCCCGTGTCACATGTACACATAATAACACAGCATACTACAGTCTCACTACAGACAGCTTTCGTATTTCAATCAAATCGAGATTTCAAATTTTCGTATGTATTTCAGTCCACCCCCTCTTTTAATATTTTAGATGCTCCTAAAGGATCTGCATTTACTTTCGTCGGAAAGAGCAGCCCTCAGTGAGTCGGGCCTTACCGCCGGTGGGCTGGCAAAGGACAGTGGAGCAAGAGCCGCAGGTCACAACGGTCTGAGCGTGAGAAAAGACAGTAGTGATGTTGATGCAACCGGGGCACTTGACGTCCATGAAGAAGGATCGAGGCTGGGGGACAAGAGTCTTGAGCTTGTGCTTTCGGGCCTCAGACTGAGGAGAAGGGTTGAGAAGATCTTGAGTAAGAACCTGAGTTAGTAAAAATGTCTGAAAAGCGTCGTGTCGGAAGGAATGGAGCAGCAGGAGATGATGAAGCTGCCATAAAGGGCTTCGAATGACGTGTCGATGAGGTGGCAAATCCTTGGTGATGATAACGTCGTTTAACCATTCCCGTCAAATTTTTCATGTCGTTGTGAGCTCCAAACTGAGCTCTTCTGAAAGAAATATTCTCAATATCGCTGTGGAAAATCCCCCTATCGCCCTCCTGCTCCTAGTGCTCTCCGTATCATATAGCTTCAGCACTCACCATTTTGCTTTAATTCGTTCGTTTCGTTGATGCGACGGATGGAAAAAGAGACGGTATAAGAGCTTTCAGCACATCCAGAGGGTCGGAAGTCTAATTCTTCCAAAAGCGTAAAAGACAGTCACAGAAGTTGCCAGAAAAAGTCAAAATGTCATGTGACTATGCAGAATACAGGCACATTGGGGGGGACTTTAGGGTACCAAACTGTTGTGTTTGAAAAGCTGGTTAAAACGGTGGTATTTCTGGGCGCAAAAATCGCCCATATTGAGATTATTTCGCAAATCCTCTCCTGAGCCCGTTTCCAGAACCTGCTTTGACCCCCGAAAATTTTTCTTCTCTCTTGAAGGCGGAGATGTCTCCAGTGGCGACTGCATATTTAATGCACGTGGGGGTCTCATAACCATTCCATTGGGACCCTTGGGGTTCGAAACACGGAGTTGGAAAAAGCTGGAAAATTCCAAAAGTTCCGGATCTTCCGGACGTAAAAAAATGGACCCTCCAGGAACAATCCTGGGTAATCCACGTGTTTCTAGGATATCTGTGTGGATTCTACGGGCCACTGAAGTGTCCCCACCATCACAAGCACAGTTAACATTCAATATGCAGCCCTGATGCCCGTTGGCTGTGTATATGCTACTAACCATCAATCGTATGTACATAGTGGTGACAAGTTCTACAGTCGTGATCGGCCGTATTCGTAGATCGAGGAAATGAAATTAATGCGGAGCAACCTAAAGATATGTACGTAACCCCCTTCTACAGCCGCCCATATCCTCCAATAACCTCCGATCGTCTCCCACAAGAAAACCAGTTCACTTCACACGCCCCATCTAATCACATCCGCGCCCCCCCCCTCCCCCCAACCTTGTCTGTGCACTTTTTACGACAATCACGAGCGGCCATGCCTGGTTCATGTGTGTGAGTGGAACTCAGTTTTGGACAGCTCGTGAAGTGGACGGCTAGGCTGCTTGAATCTGTGTCCATAACTGCCTCTCTTGGTAGCTACAGTGCTGTACAGTATGTATCGATCTCTTCAGTCGCCCTACAGTTCTATCTCCAGCCAAGCTACATCTCTAAACACACATTGATCATAACATCTATATTTATTTTTATGTACTCAGCTGACAGTTTCACCTTTCTTTGTTTCACTCTGTAACCGCCTCCTCCGACTCTGCGGCTCGAGGTTTCATCTTCACTCGGAACTGCTCAATAGTGTGTTCAGGACCGGGCTCTCGACAACTTTCAATCGCACACATTCGAGCCAGATCCTTGTTGTCCCAGTAATTGGAATGAGCAGTGATCATGGACACGTACTGGTTCTCCAGAGCTCCGGTAAGAGGCACAATCCAGTCAATCTGACCGTTATCATTGAGACCCTGCATCTGTTGCTCGGCCTGATGCTCCCGAGCAAAGTCTCGCTTCTGCAGAGGAATAGACTTGGGTGGCGAAGAAGTCAAATTGCCCTCTCCAATCAGAGAACCACCAATCTCCACACTAGCATTCATAGGTTTCACAGGAGTGGGTGTAAAAATGGGCACCTCGTCCTTGGGAGAAACTTCCTGGGGAGAGAAGGGGCCCGAGGTGGCCATTGGGCTCTTTTTGTGCTCGGTTTTACGGGCGTTGGGCGAAAGGGGAGACTTGGGACGGCTGCTGAAGATGCCAGAAAGTCGAGAAGACATGGATTTGTCGGACTTTGTGGAGTCTGATCTAGGCCGAGGTTTCAGAGACCCCTTGACTTCGGAAGCAGAGAATTCCTCGAGGTCTTTGGTGTCTGTGGCATCCTTGGAACCTTCAGAGAGGTCCTTGACAGCCTTAACACCCTTATCAGACTCCTTCTCTTCCACAGAAGGGGTTCCTGAGGGACTCCAGAAGGGGAACTTGACGGGGAATTTGATCCACGACTCGTCTTCTCCCTCCAAGGGAAAGTTCTTTTCTGTGGGAACATTGGCTGTCTCAATATTCTCAGCCAAGTCAGTATCAACAGTGGGATTTAGGAGATAGGCAATGGGATCGGAGAAGTTGATGACATTGTAGAGGTTTTTAACGGCCAGGCATCCGTATTGGGGTCCATTCTCCTCAGATCGAGCCTTGAAATTGGCGTTGTGAAGAAGCATGAAGAACCCAACTGGAGAACCGACCAGAAACAGATTTGAAGTGTTGAAACAAAAGTTGGGGATCTTGTGTGTCTTTCGCTGGAACAGGGGAGGTACCTTGAGGTCCAGGGTGACGTCAGGCGTCTCCACGTCTTGGAAATCATCCTTTTCCACCTTTGTAGGCTGGAAAGAAAGCAGGTCCAAAGCAATGACAGATCCCAGAGAATGGCCAATAATATGCACGTTGCCATGGCCGTTCTCTCCATCAAACCCAGGATTGTGCTTGCAGAAAATGCGGTATATTCGGTTGGCTTCTGTGGCAGCAGCATGCAAAAGAAGAGGTCTATGATGAGACATGTAGTAGGGGATATCGAGAAGGACGTCTCCAATGAGCCCTCGCACGGAGGGAATGGAATTGACAGTAATATCCTTCAGTGAGTACCCTGAAGAACCGGATTCTCGGTGCATAGAGCCCAGCTCTTCAAAATCAACAAGTCTTCTCCAGTTTATGGGCAGAATAGCAATGGAGTTTTCATCCTGACGGTCTTCGGGAAGACAGTGTTTGGTTCTGGGCGACTTGAGCTGTTCCTTGACCAACACTCGGAAATGATTGATGGCAAAAGTGAAGGTGAAAGATGCCACTCTCTCAGACAGTTTCTGACCAATGCCATGAAGCACAAAGATGAGCTGCTTGATCTTGGCATACTCGTGATCGAGTGCGTCGACTTGTCGGTCGGGAAGGGTCTTGAACTTCTTGTACTCGTCCCAATCGTAGAATCTCTGTAAGGTAACATGAGATCCAGGAAGAGGTCTGCCCTTGAGAAGAGAGGTAGCCAACAGTGCTGTACTAGGAGCAGTTCCAAACAGATTGAAGTAACTGGGCAGCAGAATGTGGGCCTTGGGAGTCACTTCTGTCTCTCCTTCAAACATAGCACAGGGAGAAAACACCACAGACACGTCAATGGGAGGATCTTTGGCGCCATCCTTGACCTTGTAGGTGAAAGAGTGTTTGAATCTGCACTCTGCCTCGGGGTTGGAGATGGCAGCTTCAAGCTCTTCAACGTATTCCGACGTCCAAGGCTTGATTGATTGGAAGGCTTCTTCTAGATGACGCTCTAGGGATCTCTCAACTGGTCCAAGAGTCGATCTGAAGAACCACGTGCTTCGGCGCACGTTACAGACGTCTCCAACTGTGCGCCAGTAAAGAGGCATGCAGATATGGCCCTCTTGAGAGAACTTTGCAATATAGAGACGGTTGATTCCAACCACAGTTTCGGGATCCTCGGTGCCCTTGCAGTCATCTTCTTCGTGAATCTCAGACTTGTTCACAGGGTAGTCATCTTCGTTGACACCAGGAGTCTTATCGGCCGAATAGATGCCATACGCCTTTTCCAGAGCATTGATATCGGCAGGAGCAAATGCACTCCAGGACGTGTCAGGTGCCAAGTTGCCAGTATAGCCGAGCGCAGAAAACACGGGCGGCTTCAGCGGAGGCAATTCGTCTGTGTCCCTGAGCGATTCCACTACTGCAGCTGTTTGTGCAGTAGTGGTTCCGGTAGCCTTCTGTGCATTAGACACAGCTTGGGCCTGGGCGGCAGGAAGTTCAGCCAACGGGTCATACAGATCAACCTGAGCATCGTAGAAGAACCATGGTCGAACCACTGGCTCGTCCTGGGAGATGATCTTGGTGGTCATGGACGCCTCGGCCTCTGCCTCGGTGACTTCCTCCGCGACTTCCTCCGCGACTTCCTCTGCCTCGGGTACGTCCCCAGGCTTTGATTCGTCCTCTTCTTCAACCTTCCCAGCCACGGCGGTGATCTCCTCAGTGCTGGTTTCCTCCACAACAACCTCCACGTTTCCACTGATCTCCACTCTGGTCGAATCATCCGTCAGTCCAAAGGTGCTGAGGAACCTCTGTTTGGGTGACATGGGTGCTGAGATGGCCTTGAGTTGTCCCGAAAGAGACCGCTGGTGGTTCTTGCGGATGGTGACTGGTTCTAGCAGGGGCTTCTCTGTGTCGTTAGTTGCCATGGTTGTCTGAAGACAGAGAATTGGTGGTTTGTCGAACAGGCCCTCACTGCAATTTATCTGAGCACGGGCCATCTATTAGTTGCTTGCAGATGGTATGCACCAGAGAGTCTCACCTAAAAATCCGGGGCGAATATTTTTAAGAGGTATGTTGTGAGAGGAGCTGAGGGGAAGGGGGGTTGGTAGGGCGTCATTTCGGTCTGCCTTCGTCTTTTATTTCAAAAAACAAACACACTAAACCCCCACTATCAGTAGATGTAGATAACAGCCACCTACCAAAGGCACAGGTTTGCGGCACACAGAGATCTAAAATCTCGGTTCTCTGCATACGCGGTATGTATGTCGGAGACTAATTTTTGCGAGCGCAGAGTTTTGGACGTTGAAGATACGTTTATTTTGCGGGTTGGTGCCCTGAACCTGTGCTTATACACGTTTGGCGTGTCGGAGTTTTCTTTTTCCGGCGACTTTCCCCTGCTCTTTTGCTTTCTCTGCCCCATTTTTCCCATATCTAATTTTTGCCACTCACCGCCTCGGTATTTTCTGTTATCAAACCACCCAACGTGTGGAGCCGAATTGGGACTCGGGTTAGGAAACCAACAGGCGTTTTGACAGTTGGAGTTCGGGGGGTGATCAAGTGTGTGTAAAGTCGTCAGTTCGAATCTGATTCTGGAGTGAAAATTGGAATTTAAAAAAACCTTAGTTGGGGGCTGAGTTGACCTCGGATCCCAACGATCATCGTTTAGGTCGAGTGAGTCGTTTACCAAATAGACTTTTCCATTACAGTAGGAGCACAACACAACAGAAGTGGAACGATGACCAGTGAGAACATGAAGGCGGAGGGGTATATTGGTGCCAATTAACTTGTGGCACGTGATATAATGTGTAATTGTGCCTGAAAATCAACCCCAATCGCATATATCGCCCCTAATCAATGTGTTGTAGCTCAACACTGTCACACCCCCACTTCGCGGTTGGGTGTTGGGAAAAACTAAACTGAAATTAGGTTGGTGACACAAAGTGCGTCTACGTCTCTCTTATATTGGTCCCACATCTCTCTTTTTTTCCCCCTTAACTCACCTCATCAGACATGTCTGCCAACGAGAACATCTCCCGATTCGACGCCCCTGTGGGCAAGGAGCACCCCGCCTACGAGCTCTTCCATAACCACACACGATCTTTCGTCTATGGTCTCCAGCCTCGAGCCTGCCAGGGTATGCTGGACTTCGACTTCATCTGTAAGCGAGAGAACCCCTCCGTGGCCGGTGTCATCTATCCCTTCGGCGGCCAGTTCGTCACCAAGATGTACTGGGGCACCAAGGAGACTCTTCTCCCTGTCTACCAGCAGGTCGAGAAGGCCGCTGCCAAGCACCCCGAGGTCGATGTCGTGGTCAACTTTGCCTCCTCTCGATCCGTCTACTCCTCTACCATGGAGCTGCTCGAGTACCCCCAGTTCCGAACCATCGCCATTATTGCCGAGGGTGTCCCCGAGCGACGAGCCCGAGAGATCCTCCACAAGGCCCAGAAGAAGGGTGTGACCATCATTGGTCCCGCTACCGTCGGAGGTATCAAGCCCGGTTGCTTCAAGGTTGGAAACACCGGAGGTATGATGGACAACATTGTCGCCTCCAAGCTCTACCGACCCGGCTCCGTTGCCTACGTCTCCAAGTCCGGAGGAATGTCCAACGAGCTGAACAACATTATCTCTCACACCACCGACGGTGTCTACGAGGGTATTGCTATTGGTGGTGACCGATACCCTGGTACTACCTTCATTGACCATATCCTGCGATACGAGGCCGACCCCAAGTGTAAGATCATCGTCCTCCTTGGTGAGGTTGGTGGTGTTGAGGAGTACCGAGTCATCGAGGCTGTTAAGAACGGCCAGATCAAGAAGCCCATCGTCGCTTGGGCCATTGGTACTTGTGCCTCCATGTTCAAGACTGAGGTTCAGTTCGGCCACGCCGGCTCCATGGCCAACTCCGACCTGGAGACTGCCAAGGCTAAGAACGCCGCCATGAAGTCTGCTGGCTTCTACGTCCCCGATACCTTCGAGGACATGCCCGAGGTCCTTGCCGAGCTCTACGAGAAGATGGTCGCCAAGGGCGAGCTGTCTCGAATCTCTGAGCCTGAGGTCCCCAAGATCCCCATTGACTACTCTTGGGCCCAGGAGCTTGGTCTTATCCGAAAGCCCGCTGCTTTCATCTCCACTATTTCCGATGACCGAGGCCAGGAGCTTCTGTACGCTGGCATGCCCATTTCCGAGGTTTTCAAGGAGGACATTGGTATCGGCGGTGTCATGTCTCTGCTGTGGTTCCGACGACGACTCCCCGACTACGCCTCCAAGTTTCTTGAGATGGTTCTCATGCTTACTGCTGACCACGGTCCCGCCGTATCCGGTGCCATGAACACCATTATCACCACCCGAGCTGGTAAGGATCTCATTTCTTCCCTGGTTGCTGGTCTCCTGACCATTGGTACCCGATTCGGAGGTGCTCTTGACGGTGCTGCCACCGAGTTCACCACTGCCTACGACAAGGGTCTGTCCCCCCGACAGTTCGTTGATACCATGCGAAAGCAGAACAAGCTGATTCCTGGTATTGGCCATCGAGTCAAGTCTCGAAACAACCCCGATTTCCGAGTCGAGCTTGTCAAGGACTTTGTTAAGAAGAACTTCCCCTCCACCCAGCTGCTCGACTACGCCCTTGCTGTCGAGGAGGTCACCACCTCCAAGAAGGACAACCTGATTCTGAACGTTGACGGTGCTATTGCTGTTTCTTTTGTCGATCTCATGCGATCTTGCGGTGCCTTTACTGTGGAGGAGACTGAGGACTACCTCAAGAACGGTGTTCTCAACGGTCTGTTCGTTCTCGGTCGATCCATTGGTCTCATTGCCCACCATCTCGATCAGAAGCGACTCAAGACCGGTCTGTACCGACATCCTTGGGACGATATCACCTACCTGGTTGGCCAGGAGGCTATCCAGAAGAAGCGAGTCGAGATCAGCGCCGGCGACGTTTCCAAGGCCAAGACTCGATCATAGATCTAGGGTGATAGAATATATAGCAGTAGATTATTACAGCAATAGATTTATACTTCAAGTACAGTACATACGTCCGGATACGTTATTACCCCTCGATGAGTTATAGATGGGTTTATGATAATTAAAAGCACCAGAGGTGTGGTCTATCATACAAGAATGTTGAATTCAATAGATGATTGGACGTTAAACTATATGGAGTACGAGACGAAAAGATCGTTGATAAATACACACATTTTTTCGTGTTCACATAGCATGAGAGAACACCTCCATCATCTTGAGAGCCAACTCATCATTCCATCGAGGAGTGACGATCTGGAGACCCACAGGAGCATTAGCGTAAGTCTCTGGAGAATACAGATCCTGGTGGGCCTTGTCGAGATCGTTACGGGGAGTATAACTCTCGTCCTTCTTATCACTCTCCTGCACCTTACCAATGGGCATGATTGTAGCAGGGTAGTCAAGCAAATTCCACACACAAGTGTATCCCCAGTACTTTGTTGTGTTTGGCACAATGGCAGCTGATGGAACTGTGGGCATGATCACCACGTCCACTCCCTGGTCCTTCCAGTGCTTCTGGTATGCTGTCTTGTATTTGTTTCTGACGTCCTGCGCGGCGTACAGAGACTTCACCGAGTGCTCAACACAGTTGGGGTTTTCGAGGGCGATCATCTTGGTCTGGTCAGTGGCCTTCTCGCCCGAATTGGTGAGAGCGTCTTTTAAAAACTGACCACCGTCGGGGAAGTAAAGACCTGTGATTATCTTCCAGGCCTCTTCGTGTTGCATGGGGGTGAAGGGCTTGAACTTGACAGTGAACGGAAGCTGGGCCTTTTCCATTTTGGAAATGAACTCCTTAATGGCTCTCTCAACTGGGGGGTGGGGCTTGACGTGTCCATCGTCGAGAAGATAGCCTACAGTGACCTCCTTGGGGTTGACAGGCACCCAGGCAGACCGCTCGGCAAAGGTATCTCGTTTCCAGAGCTCCAGGCTCTCGATAGACTCCATAAAGAGAGTGATAAGATCTGCCGAGGATGCCATGGGACCTACGACACCGGCAATGGCGTTGTAACCTGGTGTCAGGGAGTCTGCACCAGTAATAGGCACTCGTCCGTTTGTAGGTCTGTAGCCATAGATGCCACAGCAGGCCGCAGGCACTCGAATGGAGCCTCCAATGTCGGACCCCAGACCGAGATGAGACGCTCCAATGGCAATCATGGCACCCTCGCCAGCGGAAGAGCCTCCAGAGGACAAGCTGGTGTTGTGAGGGTTTGTAGTAAGTCCGTGCATGGGAGAGAAGGACTCGATAGACATGAGAAACTGAGGCGCGGTGGTTCTGCAAAATGGCACACATCCCAGCTCGAGAAGACCGTTGACCAGTACTGCGTTGTCGGTCTGCATGTTGTTGATGAGGTCGGGGTTCTCCCAGTGAGCAGCCCTGCCCTCCAGGGCATACAGCTCTTTGATGGACAAGGGGAAACCGTGGAAGGGACCCATAGGTTTGCCATTCTTCTCCATGTACTCATCGGCTTTTTTAGCGTACATGAGTGCGAGGTCGGGGAGGAACTCGGTGCAGCAGTTGACGAGTTTCTGGGCCACGACTGCGGCTCTGCAAAAGACGCCTGCTACTGGGACTGCCTTGAGAGTGCCACTCTTGAGTTTCTCCAACAGCTCCATGGGTGGGATCTGAAGGATTTTGCGGTCATCATCGCTTACCAGCGACAGGAAGAGAGGTTTAGCATCAAGCGGAATCTCGTCGGGGACCTTGAGATCGGCGACTTTGAATGGGCTGTCGAAGACCTGGTCAACCAGCCGCATTGACTCGTCTCGTCGGGCAATGTAGGTTTTTCGGGCCTCGTAGTCGGTCATTGCAAAATAAGGGTGGTGATTGAGATTGTAGTAAGTGTTGCAGTGGATCACTGAGTGACTGATTGATAAGTTACCTGGGGGGTTAGCTGGCGTATTTATAGTTGATCTACCACCTATGACAAAGCTGTCTCGAACTGCATGCTGGAAACCTTGATAACGATAACTGGGGTAAGCTGTAACAAGGTTCAGATTGAGTGCGTGCGAGTGGGGGTGCGAGGGGCGTACAAAGATGGGGTACAACGATTGCGGAGAAAATATCCGTGTATCAGACAAGGTCCAATTAAGCAGGTTGATCTTTAGGCTTTACCACACTCTAAAACAAGTCAGGCGCAATTGGGGGTCACTGTCAATTGATTGACACTTAACAATACATCGTTCGTTGAGTGACATCCAGGCACATACAGTTCATGTCAATGATAACGGATGACACTAGTAAGATACAAGATAGGGGTTTGTCAGGGATAGTAATGGATTGTTAACTGATATACGGTGTTCGTGTCTCAGATGCCTCCGTTGGTTCTATAGCAGTTGCTTACTCTCTCTGTCTCAGAGTCAACAACCGTCCTGAATGTTCCGAAACTATAATGAATCGGCTCTGCTAACTAAAACGTCCCCCCCTCAATATCAGCAATTGAGTTTTATGAGCGCCTCCGCGTATCAGATAATAGTTCCATATATTAGCGCCAAGGATATTTAGCCGCGTCATCTGATATGCCTGAGTAATACTCGGCTCGCATACGTTGATGGGGTTGTTGTCTTACAGTGCGAGTAAGGTGCGAGTACACTTGAGTCCTAAGTAACTGTAGTGATGTCGGCTATTGACTGCTTGTATACACTCTTTTACGTTTCTCTTATCATAACATCAAATCAAAGTAACTAACATACAGGCAGCGCTTGCCTTCAATTTCCAACCTAATAACTCACACCCAGACCCTTAGCCACCTTTTGTCCGAGATCGTCGTTGATCTGGCCAAAGTACTTGGCAACCTGCTCCTTAAGTCCGGGCTGCTTGATCGATGAAGCATGACCAACCACGTTCTCAATGAACCGAGCCTTGGCAGCATCGTCGTATACCTTCTCGTACAGAGCTCGGGGCTGCTCCGCATCAATGTCCTGGATTCCAGACACGTAGATGTAAGAAGCGCCCTCCCAGATCTTCTCATCGTGCTTCTTGGCCTCCTCGGTCTGCACAGACAAGGACTCGTCCTCCATCTTCTTGGTGACCACTCCAGTGTAGTTGTGAGTACTCTTGAAGTCCTCGTCAGGCACAGAAACCGATTGGATGGGTCGGATGGTCGACAGGTAGTTGGGTCGGTTGCCCTGGTTGTTGATGGCCATGTTTCCGTCTCGCTGGAAGTTTCCGGCCAGGAAGGGACATCCAGACCCCTTCTGGAAGGTTCGAGGCTGGTTGACGGGCAACTGGTTGAAGTTGGGACCCAGTCGGTGTCGATGAGTATCGGGGTAGGAGAAGAGTCGAGACTGCAGAACAGGGTCAGCAGAGGCCTCCAGACCGTTGGGCAGGTTGGAAGGAGAGAATGCTACCTGCTCAATCTCCTCAAAGTAGTTGTCGGCGTTCTTGTTGAGCACAAACTTGCCGACCTTTCGCAGAGGGAATTCCTTGTGAGACCAAACCTTGGTAAGATCCAGAATGGAGTACCGGAACTTTTCGGCCTGCTCGGGAGTCATGGTCTGCACGTAGACCGTCCACGAGGGGTAATCCCCGTTGTCGATGGCCTCAAACAGGTCCTGCTGAGAGGAATCAGGGTTGGCACCTGCAAGCTCACCGGCCTTCTCGGCAGACAGGTTCTTGACACCCTGGTCGGTGATGTAGTGGAACTGAGTGTAGGTGATCTTACCCTCCTTGCTGATGAACTTGAAGGTGTGGCCAGAGTAGCCGTTCATGTGTCTCCATCCATCAGGAGTGCCTCGATCTCCAAACATGTAGGTGATCTGGTGGAGAGACTCGGGGTTCTGGGTCAGGTAGTTCCAGAAGTGAGAAGCGTCCGGTCCAGCACCCAGGTTGGTCTGAGGATCTCGCTTCTGGGTGTGGATGAAGTGGGGGAACTTGATGGGGTCTCGGATGAAGAAGATGGGGGTGTTGTTGGCCACCATGTCCCAGTTACCCCAGTCGGTTCGATGCTTGATGGAGAAGCCTCGGGGGTCTCGAGCTGAGTCAGCAGAGCCTCGCTCACCTCCAACAGTTGAGAATCGTACCGTCACGGGACACTTGTAGCCGGCCTTCTGGAAGGGCTCAGCGTAGGTGATGTCAGACAGATCATCGGTGACCTCGAAGTAGCCGTGGGCTCCTCCTCCCTTTGCATGGACAACTCGCTCGGGAATTCGCTCTCGGTCGAAATGGGCCAGAGCGTCAATTAGATAGGTGTCCTGGAGCAGCAAAGGCCCGGTAGGACCAGCTCGCTGAGCAGAGTAGGGGTGGTGGGGGAAGGGGACTCCGAAGGAGGTGGAGTAGACGGCGTCGTCTTTGGAATTGGCGTAGAGTTCTTTGGACATGTTGTTTGTAGATGTTACTGTTCAATTGAGCCAGGGACGAAGGGTCCTGTTCCCTCCTTATATATCATCTCCACTTTTACTAATCCTTGTCTCACAGCAAGGCACTAGAGGTACTCGAATAGTCAGCAGCTGCACCTGGGATGCAGGCAAGCCAAACCTAGCCGAAACCTAGTCAGATTATTTACCAATGAGGGGACGATTATACGTGCTTATGAAACAATCCAAAGGTAGAATTCCCCTCCGCGGAGCGACTCAAGACGATATATTGATTTCTGGGTGCTGTTTAAAGTGCTGGGTGTGAGTGGTTTCGACCTCGTTGGATGTTGTGATGATGTTACATTATCATACGTTGGTGCATGCGCCGTGTAGAACCGTTGTTAACTCTTAGTAAAAGACCTTGAAGAGGAAATCTAGACTGCTGACTACAGGTGTAGATTGGCCAGTATTAGGCTCCCTTTTATGGGCCAGGCCAGACAAAAAAGAGACCCACAGAGGTCACTCTATTGGTCAGGGTCTTAATACAGTAGGTCTTTTGACTCTTTGTCTGGAAGCATGTGGGCTGATAGATCCGGATTCCGTTCTCTTTTTTTTTGTTTCTCAGTGTGTTCGCCCTTTAGACTCAATATAAGACGGCAAGCTCGTATGAAGCAGCAACCACCTATAGGTACAATGTTGGTTGCTATTATGCAAGGCATTCTGAAGATGGCCCAACAGATTATCATACAGAAATCATTGAATGAGATCACGAAAACTACAGCGTAGACAAAGACACACCCCACGGAAAATAAATGTCACCCTTCTTGGGCTTGTCACACCCCTCCCCCTTCAAACTTTGTGGCTCTCTCGGACTGGAAGATCTGGGGTTGTAGGAGCTTGCATATCGATGTCGCAAACACGAAGATGAGTCTCTGACGCCGCAAGGAAATCGCGATGCAAGGTAACTGAAGCGCCACTCTTTGAAACACGCGCAATTGGCCCCCTTTTGGATAGAAAAAACACTCTTTTTGGGAGTGACCAATCACTGTTTGTGAAAAAGAAATGGCTCACACGCAGGTGACGCACTTTTAGTCCGCCACTACTCGGTTCACTGGAACCACCACCACATTTGCAACCACCCTAGAGTTTCATTTACCAGGCCGTTGTGTTATAAATAAAGTTCGCTGCTTGTACATACTTGGACATACTTGTAGTGATTTTTGAAAGTGAATAGCCAGGTACAAGTACCGGTATTTGCAAGTATTTTGATTGCTATAATGAATAACCGTTAATACTATTGTAGCAAGTATTAAAATAGCGAAGAAATATACACAGTCGGGAGCAGCTTAGTGAGCAGATAACAGCCTACCGGTCCACAATGGAGTTGAGAAAAGATGTCTGTAGGGTCTGTCAGGCATAAGAGCAGCAAACTACCCATGTTAGTCACGATACTTAGCCGTGTAACATCCGGAGAAGCCCCTGGAGGTGGAGATTAATGTCCCTCTTGTCAAGTTATGGAGTCCAGATTTCCGCTGACTTATTTAGTGCCCACCTTATTAGTATCACTCTGCCAACTTTATGAGCACTTTCTAAGGCAACGTGGGGGGTAAGCGTAGGGGGAGCATCTTCCAAGGAGGGTCTAGACCCAACACCATATATATAATCAGAACACTATACAATTACTGTATGTACTGCTCTTACTACAAGTCGTCAAACATAGTGTACATTTATTACTATTACTGATGCAAATAAATAACTGAGGCCGTTAATGGCACTCTTTTAACTGTCCTCCGCGTAGTAAAGCGGGAAACCTAGGGATCCACAAGATACTCAAAACACTGGTCCATCTCCGCACTGGTCAGACATTGCAAGTAAAGACACTTGGCTACAATGTCCACGTCAGACTGGAACCGGTAGTTCTTGGACCACTCGATGCACTGGATCAAGGACTTGACGATGGAAGCAGACGTCTTGTACTGCTCAAAGTTGACGTCTCCATTCTCGCTCAACTTGAGACGCTCATTGTTGAACGTCAAATCGGAGAGAGATAGACCAACAAATGGAATACAGCCCTTCTCGGGGTCAATGGACACAAACTCTTGCCGGAGATTGTGGAAATTCTTCAGGGGAACCACAATTTGTTCCAGCTCGGCCAGAATCTTCTTGTCCTGAGGCAAAATGTGTTGCCAGGTCTCCTTGAGACGAGACACGTGACTGGAAGACAGGGCAAGCACAATCTGCATGAGAGTGGCAAAGTTCTGCATTTCTCGACACAGAAACGCAATGTGGATGAACCGGGACACAACACAGATCCGCTCAGCCAGTCGCTTTGTAAGCAGAATCTCGGAGATGACCCAGTTGACCACGAGGTTGAACCGTGTAATGACCATATCAACTCCAATGTTGGTTTTGGCAACAAGGTACGAGGTCCACGACTGAACAGGCTCGAGCTTCTTGTTCCATCGAGCCTCAATCAGCTCCTTCCAGTCCACCTCAGCAAGGGAATCACGCTCAATCAGGGTCATATGCTGAGCTAGAGTCTCAGCATCGTAGTTTAGAATGAAGGGCAAGTGACGACCGTTGGAAAAGAGATCAGGAATGGATGAAGCTCCAAACTCGATGGCATCGGGAAGATATGAGTCGGAGGGTCCACCAGAGACATCAACATTGAGATTGGGACTGGGTCTTCGTCCAAGACTCTTACTGGGCTTGAATCCAGCAGGAATGTCCAGATCAGACACATTTTGTACCATGGACGGATCAAGCGATTCATCATCGTCATACAGGCCAATGATGGAGTTCTGCAAGTCATTTTCATCCCTGCTTTCGTCTTCAATACCTTCATCCTGCATTTGTTGAGCCACGTCTCCTTCTTTCGTTCGCTGTTTTTTCTTCTCGCCCTTCACATAGGTACCCTCCAACTTTTGTAGAGCAGCCACAATGGCGTCTTCTTCGGTTGTGTCGTCAGGAATCTGAGCTAGTCCAGCCACAGCCTCCGCATCAACTCCAAACATGCCACACGACTCTGTCACGTTTCCAACATCGGAATTGCGCACCGAGTAGTTGATGGCCTCGATGAACGAGGGCGTGAGCTTGCCTCTGTTCTCCTTGGTGGGACTTCGGGGCTGTTTGGTGGGACTGTTGAAGTTGAGATTCGAGTATCGTTGCTGCTTCTTAAGCCGAGTAGGAGACTTCTGGGGTGTGGATACCAGGTTGAAATCAAAGTCCAATGATGAAGTGTATGAAACGTACGACTTGCTGCTCTCTCTTCCGGCTGAATTATCCTCCTGGCCCGCCTGACCGTCGAGACCGTCTACTTCGTTTGTTTGGCTCCCGTTGTTACCCTCGTTGGCAAACGTGAAGCCCTCGAAAACCTCGTCGTTCTGGGCCTTGTTGTTCAGCTGCTTCTCCTTGCTCTCAACCAGATGGCGCAGCTCCTGCAACACTCTCTGTCCCAGCACATCGTATCTCAGGTCCAGAGAAATGCTTTCTGTGACTCGGGGAGACACGTGTTCTCTGCTGAGCTCCTCCATCTCATGTTCGCCTATGAGTCTCGTGGCAAACCGCACCAGTTTCATGTTGAGACTCTGACGTGTGCTGCGTGATCTGGCATCCTTCTTCTGCAAAATGTCCTTGACCTCTGGTGACGATACCAGCGATCCCTCTGCGGTCTTGAACGACTTAATTGGCGTCGGTGGTTGAATTAGTGTGAGTCCTGCATTCCTGGGAGCCGCAATTCCTCCTCGAATGATGTGTCCATTGATCGTAGAGTGTCCTCGTTTCAGGGGGTGGTCGTCGTCTGCAATTCCGTCGATACTAGAATTGGTCCAAATGGAAGGTATCGACTCATTCCCGGAGTTGCTGGCTCCTTCCGCCGTCTCGGGATTGTAAACTGGAATGTCCTGGTACAGAGACAGGATGGTCTTCCGTCTGACATGTGGTTGTTTAAGTGATAGTCTTTGGTTGGCGTTCTTGTTCTCGACCACTAGCTTCTCTCCTACAAGCCCTCCGCTGTATATGGTGGCCAGATCCTGCGGCACGTTCCAGTACATGCTGACTGATTTTGTCCAGATGCTCTTGAGCTGGAAAACAATGCGTTGTGAATTGGCGTCCTGTTGGACCATGCTAGAGTCGTTCAGCCGGTTGAGAGTGTCTGCAAACATGGATCGGATCGTGTGGCTGGGCACAAAGTCGTCTGCAAAGAAGTTGAGCACCCAATGCCGCAGCACCACAAACGTTCGGACGCATACGTCTCTCCCCTTCTCACTGTTGCGCGCGTTCTGGCTCTGTCGTAACGCCTTGTTCACCTCGTTCTGTACCCCAATGGCCCACTCCAGCCGCCCCAGAAGAAGCCCCAGCAGCTCCGTCGCGTCCATAAACATGCGGTAGGTGAGAAAAAAGTCGGACATGAGTGTGTAGTCGAGCGTGTGTGGAGACGTTAGGTATTCCACTATGTCTGGCGGGGACCCTCCCAGAAGCTGTCCTTCGGGCCCCAGTCGGACTGTATTCGGCGCCGCCCTCGGTGTGTTCATTGCATAGTGCAATCGCCCTGGTCGAGTGTGTGGAAAAAGTTGTGAGAGTTGGTGATAGTGAACCTCTCTCGTGTAGTATGTACACTATGTACACTCTGCGTGCTGGTATACTATGAACAATGCTTGGGGTGAAGAATGCAACCTTAAGCAGACCTAACTTTTGGGCTGGAATGTGCGATGCCCAAGGCTGATACAGGAGGAGAGGAGGTGTGTGTGGATGGTTAAACGTCTCTGGATCCCACACACTCGGCTCCTGCCTTGGATATTATCCATCTCGACTGTCCAAACCCCCCATTATTATTGTCCCAGGGCTCGATTCTTAAAATTAACTCAGACCTCGGACCAAAATCCTAACTCAGTATCACCATTATCAGGGTTCGTGACAACGGTACCTGTCAGATGACAGACTGCGGCTATAGGGACCTCCAAAGGGGCAGTTGGAGGTCATGGGGCGATACCTGCTGGTCTTGGTCGTTATTGTTGCCTGCTATCATCTCTACAACGTGTCGAGGGCTTTCCTCGACTCTCCAAACAGAGTTCCGCATCCGGCTTCGGTGCATGCCAATCACAACACCGGTGATCGTCCGTGACATCGAGCTTCAGGGGTATGTTATAGGCACGGATAGACAGGTGATTGGGTGTTTCGTCCCAGTCGTGTACCGTCGTTTTCCGGCCAATTCGTCTCGATTTGACCCTTTTATCGTTGAGCCTCAACAGTGTCCACCCCCTTCCCCATGTACCAGCGGACTTACGCGTCAGGGGTAAAAGTTAGGCGCGTCAAAAAGATGCTTATGTCTCTTCTTTTCCCACCACGGCTTGCAGAGTGCAGCTGATGAAGGGGGAGGCTGAGATCAATCAGCTGGGGAGGAGGTTGGTCGACCTTTGTCTACACCTCCTGGTGTATTATAGACTCCACGGCTCCGCATCCAATCGACCCCTGTTGATAGACATGCAGCAAGCTTCACAAACTTCCGCAGTTTGGGCCCAAGTTGTTTTTCACGTCACGAGGAATATGTACATGTCTGGCGCACTGTGGAAAATGGTGGGAGTACAGTATCACGACATAGTGACGACTGGGCCTACCGCTAGTACGCGATACGCGATTAGTGGGCGGGGAATGGCTGCAGGAGGAGCTGTAGCGCGTCTTGCATCGCAGTCCATTGTGCTGTACCAGTAATGACAGCCTCGTCTCCGATACTTTCGAGGCGATGCTTTACTCAAATCATGACTTAATCAGGATTCACATACGCTAAATTACAAATGGCTACTCGTACATACTGTAGCCGTAAGACATGACGTAACGCAACTTTTGTCTTAGCCGCGAGAGCGTGAACAGGTCGGACCTGACAACACAACTTGGTGGTAATCGCCTGAAAATCCGCAACACGTAGTGTGCAGTTGAGCGGTGTGCTACCGCAGGGATGGTCTGGATTTTGCAGTCTTCCTCATGATGACTACAAGTGTTGTAAGTCCGAGGTTAGCTCCGTTGCAGTGTTACCCTGATGCAGTGGTTGGTGAGAATGTGGTATGTAGAGAGTCTGCTGACGGGTATAGTGTTGTGGGAACGGTGGAATGTGCATTTTGTGTCTGCCTTGGCCATGGTCGCGGTTACGAGCGCTTGTATTTGTTTATATTATGTCAAGTGTGGGTCTGGCATCTGTTCCTGAAATGTACAACTACAACTACAAGTGCAGCCTTTACAATATCGTGACATTGCTGTGCATGTTGATCAGGAGGAGTATACGGTCCTCGTAGGAGTGTCATATTCCGAGACCAAAAAAAAAGAGGTTGAGATCCGAAGTGCCAAACTATTCTAGCCGACCAGACCCCGTCAGAATTCCTGTCCTATGCAATCAACCTCATGTACCGGATATCGTCATAATCTGTAACTCAACGCCGTTGCTATCATGCATGTCGGACATGACCAACCTTCGCTGCGTGACTTTATGCATCATCGACAATGAATCAAAGTGGAATTGAAGGTGAGTACAAGACCGGTGAAGAGGAGTAGGAGCATCAATCGTGACACACAGTTCAACAGGAGGACCCCAGTGTCTCTACAGCAGCCTCACCATCGACCAAAACTGCCAGTACGCCCCTATAGGTAAACCGCTCTGCCAGCACACGTCAATTGAGCTAACACAGCAACACCCGGACTGGCCCAGAAACTACACTCGTTCGGCCGAGGACTGATCGTCAAGATACAGGACGAAAAGCTCGAACACACACACGAGATCGACGACTCGCACACATTCGAAAGCGGCTTCGAGGAGGCTCGAGCCAAGCTGTCCGACAGAGAAGCAGCATACCTGCTGTACCGAAACAACGACGAGATTCTGGTCATCACCTACGTGCCTGATGACGCCAAGGTGCGCCAGAAAATGCTGTACGCCTCGTCCAAGCAGGCTCTTACCCGAGAACTCGGTGCTTCCAATCCGGTTGATCTGTTCGTGACCGAGCTCGAAGACATCTCTGAGAAGGGCTACAAGTCGCACGTTCGACACGCCAACCTGGGAGCTCCCCTGACCCGAGAGGAGGAGAGCCTCAAGTTCGTCAAGGAGAACGAGGCCGGCGTTGCCCAGAGCCACTCCGTCAACATCACACACTCCAAGGGTATCGAGATGAAGCATGCGGCCGACTTTGACGACAAGCTCGCTTCTTTCGAGTCTGCCTCCGAGGGCGCCATTCTGCCCTTCACCATCGACGTGAGCAACGAGGAGGTCATTCCTGGTTCCATCTCGTCTGTCTCTGACTGGAGAGAGATCAAGACTCCCGAAAGCCACCCTCAGTACACGCTGTACAAGTCTCCCTCCGGCGTGGTGTTCATCTACACATGTCCCTCGGGCTCCAAGATCAAGGAGCGAATGCTGTATGCTGCGTCACGACGGGTTCTTCTCAGCAACATTGAGAAGAACATCACCGTGGCCAAGACAGTCGACGTTGGGGACGAAGATCTTGACCTTGATGAGGTTGTAGCCGAGAAGAAGGAGACAGCCAAGGGCGGTCTTCGATTCAAGCGTCCCACCCGACCCGGTAGATAACTGTAATTATTAACGATTTATGCCAAAAAAATATGCCAAACAGACAGGATTTGTTGTAATTTCCTCAGATATATACAACATGCAACATTGTCCATCAAAATCATACGGCTGGTGTAACACGACCGGAGTCATCAGGGTAAACAACAAGTACAGCACCGAGCCATATCACTTGCTGAGCTGCTATGCAAGGTGGTGCCAGGATCAAGATCCACGGGTCAAGATCGGCGGGCCAAGATCCATTCTCCACCGAGCGCAGGAGGTCGCGTGACACACCCTGAGGGACTGCTCTACAAAGGTCAAGCATCCTGATGAATTGTCTATCTGGTTATATTATATACTGGGATTTACTGTATCAGTCTTGATCACCTAAGACTGATGCGGGAACATGTGCCCTCATCACCAAAGTGAGTCTGAACCAACTGGGTATGTGGAAACAAACCAGCTTGGATAATCCGTACTACACCAACCCTGGAAGACTAAACCAGGAAAGGAACATCTCCAGATTTCGCCGTTGACACAAACCATGTACAAGTACATACCGCGTAACACAGACAATCAGTACGATATCCGCCAGCAATTGTACTTGTGATACGTATATACACTCGTATGCACACACTCCTCCGTTCCAATAAGCAGAATAGCCAATAGTCGGGTCATCATAAACACTGGCTCATCTCCTTCCCATCCTTCGTAACCCTCCACCGGCATCATCTCCCTATCAGACCCAGCTTTTTCTGCGGTGCTTCCGTCATGCTCCCTCGGACGCATTACGATACAGGCCGAGTGTGTGCCGAAGTGGATAGACCCCCTATTCAATGACACATTCGGGACATCAGGTACGATACGATACGATACGATACGATACCGAGCCCCCTAAAACGGGACCCGAAAAGAAGATATGGTCACGTGACCACCAGGAGCATTTCAATCATCACCTACTTAGTCCCTATACTGCATTTTCTGCTATCCATATCCACGCTCCACCCACCTCTGTAACAGAAAGTCTATATCTGTGACACTGGTGTCCATGCAGCATGACATAATTTGGGGGTCTGGACGCGGCAGCCGAGGGATCTTCAGACGAGGGTGTGTGATCATAGCGCCATGTACGACAGTTACTGTCCACGTATAATCAGCAGTAGCGTGGAGATACACCGCAGGTGGAGACTGCGAAGACGGTGGAGGACACACAAACGAGTTCAAATCCAACGAGCCGCCTACTCGAACTTGTCGTAGCCATACGTCGTTGATCTACCGGGTAATTTTAGACGCTCAGCAGTTTGAGCTCCGTTGGGCCGGCCTCGATAACGACTACATTACCGCTACTTATAATTGGGTACAGTAGGCGCGTCGACAGCTTCGGTACAGCTGCAGCGAGCACAATTTGTGCAGTTGGACGGCCCGGGCTGCGATTATCTTGCCGTTAGTTGTACACACGACAACGCCAAACCTGGGGTAACAGCCGTAACGCGGGGTAGAAGTGTTCGAGACCCGGCAAGCAAGGTCCGAAACGACAAACTGTACTTTTTTTGCACAACCCGAGTCTAAGTGGACGTGAAAAAAAAACCAAAAACTAATATCCGTGGGGCTATCTTGGAGGCAAGTGTAAGATACGACACATCTGGGTATCAGTGTTGAATGGGAGAAGACTGATCTGTATGAACGGTTGTGTTAATTTCCCACATACATCATCACATGCTTAACACCATCAACTACTGTACTTGTAGTGACACTTGTTCTTGACAGTTTTGTCACACGATAAAGTACCCCGGAAAAAGTCGGTTGAACTTTACGCTGGAACATGAGGTGGGATTGTCCAAGAGCAGAACCAGACCACGACAGGGCCCCTTTCTCACACGGGAAATCCTATAGGCGCAGATCCGAAACGAGGGTGGTGACAGGTGCTAAATAAGCCATTTCGGAGACCCCTCGGGGATTCTCCTCGGCAGCAAAACGCCCTGCATTTGTGCTGGCAAAAGAGGAAAAATACAGACGCTCTGTTGACACACTGCTCTCCAGCACTCCCTGTGCACCATAGCGACCGTTCGCCGTCATCGGCATGAGTCACCAAACCCAATTCGGGTTTACCCCGGACCGAGGTGACATGAACAAAGCACAGCAACAAGAGAACAGACAAGACATGGCGGATTAATTGGACTGTATATGGAGACGAGGTTTACAAGTGCACGAGTGCACTTTACCAATATCAGCCACAGGCCACAAGTACCAAATCTGGTCCCGTCTATGTAGTGTTAATACGGCAAGCGGCTCCATTTGGCCTCTAGTACCTGACCCAACAAACTCCCCATAGCCCCACACTCCACCCCAAGGCAGTCAGTCTACTTGTAGCTCATGGCCTGCCGACAGTTAACCGACAGCGCGCAGCAGTTGGGCTCGCCGGGCCAAAAAAAAAAAAAAGCCATGGTTCGAGGACAGGCTAGCAGGGTTAGGGCACGGATAAAAGGTCCCGGCACATGTTGGTGGGTAGCGTAGCTGGAGTGACTGAGGGTGAACGAGTAGAGCTTGGAACGTTGCACGACTACGATTTTGACGTCAAGGCCACCGTTCAACCTCCTATTCTGGATCCCATGGCCACTCTCATTTTTTTTTTTCACACGTGCTACCCTCTCCGGTTCTGCCCGAAGGTCCGATCATTCCGCCTTTGACCCGAGGCAAATGTGAAAACAACAAACAAAGAGATTTGAGTTTGTCAGTCTGGAGAAGACAGGGAGAGCCCGCAGCCAGCATATATATACAGTCGTGTGTCCCGAACCATGTCGGTCCTAACACTCTCACAACTCATACACTCTCAAAATGGCTGCTGACGGAAAGAAGAAGAAGAACCTCGCTGTTGATCTCCTGGCTGGAGGAACCGCCGGTCTGTTTGAGGCCCTGGTCTGCCATCCTCTTGACACCATCAAGGTGCGAATGCAGCTCACCAACCGACAGCACGGCGTTAAGGAGGTCGGATTCGTCCAGACTGGTGTTAACATTGCCAAGAAGGAGGGTCCTCTGGCTCTTTACAAGGGTCTCGGAGCCGTTGTGACCGGTATTGTGCCCAAGATGGCCATCCGATTCACGTCGTACGAGTACTACCGAGGTCTTCTGACCAAGCCTGATGGAACCATCAGTGCTTTCCACACTTTCATTGCCGGTGTTGGTGCCGGAACCACCGAAGCTGTTCTGGTCGTCAACCCCACTGAGGTCATCAAGATCCGACTCCAGGCCCAGCACCACTCCATGGCTGATCCCCTCGATGTCCCCAAGTACCGAAACGCTGCTCACTGTCTCTACACCGTTGTTCGAGAGGAGGGTCCCTCTGCTCTGTACAGAGGTGTGATTCTCACTGCCACCCGACAGGCCACCAACCAGGGTGTTAACTTCACTGTCTACTCTGAGCTCAAGGCCCGACTTAACGAGATGCAGCCCCAGTTCAAGGGTGTCCTTCCCTCGTGGCAGACTTCCATCATCGGTCTGATCTCCGGTGCCCTGGGTCCCCTTTCTAACGCCCCCATCGATACCATCAAGACCCGAATGCAGCGAGAGGGTGGAGCCGCCACTCGAAACGAGTCTGGTCTCTCCCGATTCACTCGAATCACCCGACAGCTCATCCACCAGGAGGGTTTCCGAGCTCTGTACAAGGGTATCACTCCCCGAATCATGCGAGTTGCCCCCGGCCAGGCCGTCACCTTCACCGTCTACGAGTACATGCGAGGTGTGCTCGAGAACACCCCCGGTATCGGAAAGCCTTTTGCTGCCCAGTTTGAGGAGTAATCGGATCCCATCCGATTTTGGCATAGAGACTTACCACGGTAGGTCTGACAAAACCATGGCCAGCTGCGACTAGTGTTGGCAATGTACTATTAACTTAATAGAGTAATGATTTATGACTAGATCTGATATGATTAATAGCTGTCAGTGTATTTGTATTTGACGGGTTCCTACAGTATATCACGTGTCTAGTAGCTGCCCTTACGCCGTCTTTTGGTGCATCTCCAACCCTATCGATCTCCAGGAAGACGACCAATCATAGCCCGCCATCGCCCTAATCAGATCCACCTGCGCTTCTGTTGAATTGTTGATCTCCAAGGGCCTCACAGACGTGTACTTACTGTACTGTACTTGGACACCCAACATGCCATGCAGCCAAGTCCCGGTTTACGGCGGTAAAAGAAGGCATGCTGTGAAAGTCGACTGATCGGCTATAGAACTGGTTTTGGAGTGATCACACGAGAAACAGAAACATCCGACAATACGGGATACGTGTCTCAAACACGAAAATTGTACCTGCAACACACTGTTGGCACTGTACTTGTATTTTCCCTGCCGTATCGCGTATCTCACACCACCCTCATAAATTAGCCCCCCTCGACATAAGCTTGTTTCTCGAAACTCTGTCGAGGCGAAATTGGACACAACCGATGCTAGACTCTCAATGCTTACAAATAGCACGCCCACCATCCAACGCTTGGAATCAGACTATACACACACTAGTAAGTAAGCCTCATTTTGACAAGCCCTTGCCATCTTTCGGACTCTGAGACACAAACACAGGCACAAGCTACTGCAAATTCAGCCAAGACAACCCAGTCGCAAGGGGGGACGTGTCCTTCTCTCCATAGCCACTCGCTAGACCGTTTTGTGTCTCACAGAAATACGCTTAATACGCAACCTAAAAAAGTTCAACAGCAGTTTGTACAAGTAATTACCAGTAGTTCGTATGCAGTGCGTGACGCATTTTGCCGTGGCTCTAAAAGCCGACGTTTGACACTCCACACAACACGCTCAGTCTCAACTCATCGAAATATATACAAGTACAGAACTATTTGAAAGAAAAGTAATGTTCCACATGGGGCCGATCAATATAAAAGATGGGCATAAATAAATATATCCTTGCACTGCACCGTCTATCCGAGCAAATCTCGCGCCACGAGATCCGCACTCACAAGGTGGTGGACAACCTTGGTCCATTTTTCCGCTTGTGGGGCAGTGAAGGGTTCACGAGACTCGGACTCCTTAATGTATGAGTAGACCCGATCACACACGGACATGTTGATTTCCGTAAACTGCTCCTTGGAAATGAAATCCGGGTAGTATCTGTGCAGCCGGGTCTTGACAATCTTCCGGATCTCCATCTTTTTCTCGTACGACAACGAATGACCGCTGCTGCTGACACTCTCGGCCGAGTTCTGAGCAGAGTTGTGGGTTAGAGGGGTTTGGCCTTCGGCTGTGGACGAGCCTGTGGCGGTCTCAGGAGAGTTTACATGGATGTGCGAAATGGCGTCTGTGGCTGGGCTGACTGAGCCTGATGGGGGTTGCTGTTGCTGTGTCTCCTCTTCAGCTGGAGGACTGTTTCTGGGGCTTCCGCTACGAGGACTGGGAACTTCGCTTTCAGCCGTATTGTCGTTGGTGCTGTTAGATGAGTTGGTGGCGAGCGGGTTTCTGAACGGCAGAGGGGTAGGCCGTCGAAATGTGACTGGAGACGACAGCATGGGCGTACTCGATTGTCGAGAAGAGCACGGCTGCGAGGCCAATGACATGCGGGAGGACGAGGCTGACGATCTCGAGGAAAAGGCCGAGAATACAGACGAGCCAGATGCAGATGAAATTGAGGTAGCCACAGAGGTGTGGTGAGAGCTGGGGACACTGGTTCGGGGCGTATCGTTGGTAGTAGAAGGGCGGCTTTCGTCCTCGTTATCGGCATTGAAGACGTTGAACAGCGACGATCGGCGTCGACCAGTGTTGGGTTGCCGTTCTTCTCGGCGGTACTCGTCCAGAAACCGCCATGCACGTTCCTCCACAGATGCTCGCGATGCTCGAGCCAGGTTTCTGGTTTCCTCAATATTGTCCTGGATGCGGCCCATGGCTTCGTCGTCGAGCATTCGGGAGGACGACAGTCCGGTTGGGATTGTGGTTAGAGGGTCGACTTCCTCGTCGTCATCGTTGAGAAAGTAATTGTCGGAGGAGAGCGTCAGTCCCCGTGCGCCTGCAGCCGAGGTTGTCCGGCGTCGCCTGGTGTCGAAAACCAGGTGAGACTGCGAGTTCTGCGACATCTGACGTCGACCGAGCCGTCCTAGCATATTCGAGGCACGACTTCGGCCGGGGCTTCTGTTAGGTCCTCGTCTTCGGGTTGTGGTTGAAGGGTGGGCAAACGAGGGCTCCTCTTGATTGCCACAGACACAGGGGCTCTGACCGCAGAGTTCGCACTCCACGTCCTCCATTTCGGCGTCGTCCTGCTGGAACACAAACTCGTAAAGGCGCATGGCTTCTTCTGGAGGCACTGGTGACAGCGGCACCGGTCGTCGTACGCACGGAATCCGTTTGATCACTGGCCCAAAGATGGGGATTGAAGACGCTGTGTGCGACGTCTCCGACTCGTAGATGGTTCTCTTGGTCAGCTCGTCAAACTGCTGGCGACACATGGGGCACGAACTACTTCGCTGCGACCAGAGATGCAAACAGTCGAAGTGGAACCAGTGGCCGCAGCGCACATGGCCTGTCGTGGAGGCCGCGGAGATGGGCTCGAGACAGATGGTACATTCCATCAGCTGTGTTGGTGGGGCGACGTGGTTGTTGTGGATGGGTGTAGATATTGCTGTGAAGGTCGCAGAGAAGATGGTCTTTTTCGAATGGCGGTTGTGGTAGTCCGCACAGCAGTGGAGCTGGAGCTTAGTTAACGCTGGGTTTGGACGTGCAGCGCCGTTGTAGCAGAGGACATGCAAACGTAAGTAATGTGCGTAATGTGTTGGGTCTTAGCGCCAAGCTGTTAATAGTCTTCTGCCAAGGGGGGGATGGAGCGATTAAAGCCCTCAAGTGTGCAGCTTGGGAGAAGGAGTCGTGAAGAAGAATGTGTTCGGCAGGTGGAACAACGCAGAAAGAGGGCTAAGTCGACTCCGCCGTCCAACGTCTTTATAAAAAAGATCCGACTACGGACTCAGATTAAAATCAGGCTCGCAACAGAGTTGCCACTACTGTGCAGCACCAGGGATAAAGACTGCAATTTCCATCCGAGAAAAGAGTGTGAAAATCCGGCAAAAGCAAATTCCGGGTCGTCTAAAAGTCTGCTTTTAGTGCTCCCACCATCAACTCTAACCCTAGTTGCTGCGTGCACCACAGCTTCTGGAAGGAAGTTGTATCTATCTTTCTTTCCACAGAGGGGGCGTGCGTGCCGCCCACTCCACCGCAGTATATAGACTATAATTGCTATAGCAGGGGGTGGGAGTGCAGCGCCAAGGAACCCAAGAGTGTTGCTCCTTCACTCAGCCTCGTGGGGGTGGAGAAGATGCCTCCAGGTACAAGAAAACAATGGACAGAGACTAGGAACAGTAACGAGGCCTGCAGGAACCAGAGAGTGTAGGTTTAGTACGAAAAAAGGACCCATGATATCGTACTGAGTACGAGCGGTGCAGGCCAATAGCCTATCCTATAGCTACTGTATCGCTGTGCCGACGTTCCGAATATAGGTTGATGGTAGAGGCAGCCAGAAATGACAAAGGAGAGTACAACGTGCGAGTATCGCCAACCCGCATCTCTGTCGACGTTGAAACGCTTCATGGCGTCAGCACTGTCTTAGACTTGCGTCAAATTAACGATGGGCCGCAGCCACCCAGCAATGAAGCTGAGATTCATCCATCTGTGAGAAAATAAAGTGCTTTGTGCGTACCAGGGATAGGGTAGGTAGTGAAATCTGAGTTAGTACATCAACTCTAGACGATGGGCGTCGCCTGTGTAGAAGAACAATAACTCACCCGGTAACTAACACTATTTCTCGGTGGTCAATGCGTCAGAAGATATCAAGACGGTCCGTTTTGCGTTTAAGCCGAGTGAATGTTGCCTGCCGTTAGTAAATTTATTATGAAAAACCCCACTATGAATACATCAGCCTATACTGATATACCAAGAAGTGCAAGGGAGGTGGTCCTGTTCCACCTGAACGCGATTCCCGACAGGCGGCGGTACTGAAGGGCTTTGTGAGAGAGGTAACGCCGATTCTCTCTGCAGTCGTAAGACCCAGGTGGTGTGTCCGAGGCAGTATCGCTTTCCCAACTCTAGTAACCTCGGTAGTGTGAGACACACTACCCCTAACGGTAGGACAGCCGGACGACGATGGCGCAGCAATTGGCGAACGCTGTTATAAAACAATTCACTTACGTGCAATGAAAGTTGTTTGGGCAATAAACAATAAATGTATTAGAGCCAGACGATAGACAACAATCCAGCAGATGATGAGCAGGAAAATTGAGTAAGATCGACGTGGCAAGAAGAGTTACAGTTACGCAGAGTTAATAAGGTGTTGGGAGATTAGAGTTACCCTGTCGGATGACTAACTCTCCAGAGCGAGTGTTACACCTGCCCAGGTCTAACGGGGTTTCGTCCCGAAGCCCTGGTTAGAAGAATCAAGAATAAAGGCCCTGAGCAAGGAAGGAGCCCTGAGCAAGCCCAGAATCAACACGAGCGAGCTTCGACCGAGAAGTAACTCTAGTCGACGCAGTGGTAGCTGCAGAACGGACGGAACGAGTAGCCACTGAAGCCGGGGGAAGAACATGTGGAGAACAGGCAGAAAAGCGGCCAGGAATGGCAGGGAGAGCAGACTCGCGGGACTGATGTTCCTTCATGCGGTCCTGGAACTCAACGATGGAAGCGGGGTGGAAAACCTTGAGGCGGTTGCGGTGGATACGCCGCGGGTTCTCACCGTCAACATCGTTGACAGTGTACGTGCTGGTCTCAGGGTGACACGCGGTCACGATGGAGGGACCAGTCCAACGAGGAGTCAGCTTGTTGTGGGGACGGAGGTCGTGAACAAAAACGAAATCATTTACGGCCAAGGGATCTGTATCAGCTGTGTTGTGATGTTTGTCGTAGAACGCCTTTTGACGCTGGCGTTGCAGGGTCAGGTGGTCACGAGCAGAGCCAACTTCGAAAGTAGAAGCAGCAAGTTGCAAGGTGCGCAGAAAAGCAGCATGAGCGGGGTCGTTGTGGGCCAGGTCGGTCTTGCCACTGAGGTAATTCCAGGTCAGGAAACGACTTTCGACAGGCAAGACACCAGAGACACCATACATCAGCTCAAAAGGTGACTTACCCGTGGATGAACGACGGGTGCACCGGTCAGCCCAGAGGGCGGTGTGGAGGTATAAGATCCACTGACGACCGTATTTGCGCAGGCAGTGGAGGAGGTTTTGGTGACCGCGTTCCACAATGCCAGTCGATTGACCATGAGCAGGAGTGGTGAAAACCTGCTTGATGTGGAAATCTTCGCAGAGATGCTTAAAATCACCCTTGAACTCACTACCACCGTCAGTGTAGACCCGACGGGGAACGCCAAAACGAGCAATGATGAAATCGTAGAAGAAAGCGGCTGTGGAGAGAGAGTTGATACTTCGTAAGGGCACCGCCTCAGGCCAGCCAGAGAATTCATCACGAGCGACAAGGACATACTGGTAGGGGGCAATAGTGACATTTAGCCGTCCGCGGGGGGCAGAGGAAACATCAGTGAACTGAGGGGCAGTGGGGAGGAAGTCGGTGAGGGTGGTTTGAGCAGCGAGAGCCTTGGCGGGATCAGCCAGATCGGGGTACTCCTTGGTGGGACCATGAACAGCGGGAAGGTAGAGGATGTCCAGCTGGACTGTCTCCCAAATGAGACGGGGAACCACGAAGTGGAGACTCGCCTTGAGAAGACCATGGTTGGTGGCTTTTGCACACGTGCCGCATGATGCACGATGGGACTTCACGTGATCAGCCATGCCCGGCCAGTAATAGAGGCGACGGAGAGCATGAAGGATGGCAGCAGCACCGCGGTGGCCATATTGTTCATGGGTAGCTCGGAGAACCTCAGACACCTCCTTCTCTGTGAAGAGAACACGTCGATGGAGACCAGGTGAGCTGATCAGTAGGAGAATGTCGTCAAAAATGAAGAACTCAGAGCAGATTTGACGCAGTCTAGGCGGAATGTCAACACCATCTCGATCAAGATCGCCGGAGGCAATGGTGGTGAAAATGAGATCGAGAGAGATGCCTTTGTGGATGAAAACGGGCTCTGGACCAATGGACAGGACAGTGATGGAGGCCACAGGGGACCAAGTCGGGGGCACAAGCGGAGCAAGCTCATCAGCTTGTCGAGCTGTATCAGCAACAGGAGGGCGAAAATCGACAGGTCGGAAGTCAGAAAATTTCTCACGACTCAGCCAATCGGCCACTGGATTGTCTCGGCCTTTAACAAATCGAACCTCGTAATCAAACTGTTTGATGTAAGCAAACCACCGGGTGAACATAGCGTTAGGGAGTTCAACTCGGGATTGCTGCAGTAGGAAAACCAGGGCCTGGTTGTCAGTTTCGATCACGAAATGAACGCCAGTGACATAGTGACGGCACTTCTCCAAGGCACGTTTTACAGCAAGGCACTCAGTCTTGGTGGATGCGTAGGTACGCTCAGTGGGGTTCCACAAACCACTCTCGAAACGGACGGGGCGACGGGCAGCCGGAGGGCCAACACTGACGATGTGAGACATTACTGCGCCCCATCCGAGGGAGGACGCATCAGTGGTGATGACAATAGGTAAGGTGGGGTCGTAGCGGTGCAGAACCGCAGGGCTCACCATAGCCTTTTTTAGCGCCATAAAAGCAGACTCGGTGGCCTCGGTCTTGGTGATCTTGAGTTTGCCAGCCTTCTGCGCAGCGGAGATGCAGTCGTACAGAGGTGCAGCGATACTGCTGAAATGAGGGATCCACATGCGAAAATACACCACAGCACCGAGAAAAGAGCGCACACCACGGACAGTAGTGGGGAACTCGAAAGATTCGATCTTCTCGGAACTGCCAGGGGACGGGAAGCGGCCTTCAGAGGTAGTGAGGAAACCGAGGAACTCAGCCTCACTGACGAAAAGCTCGGCCTTGTCGAAAGACACAGTCAGACCCGCTTCATAGAGATTCTGAAGCACAGCCATGAGGTTGTCCATGTGTTCGACGATGTACCGGCGGCAGCCCGGAAAGTCGTCATGCATGGCTCCGCCATAGTCAGTCTTAGGCCCGAGAACGCCAATATCGTCCAAGAAAACAACAGCCTGATCCGGAAAGAGGGGCCCAAGTACGCGCAGCATGGCACGGTGGAACACCGCTGGAGAGTTGCACCAACCTTGAGGCAGGCGCGTTAACCGATAGGAGCCAAAATCTGTGTTAAAAGCCGTCAAGTCACGGGACTCGGGAGCAATCTCCTTCTGACCGTAACCATTCTTAATGTCAAGCAGGGAAGTTACAGCACGACCACAGAAACTCTCAGCCAGGAGGTCCGCGTTGGGTGGGTGGAAAGCATCTCTCAAGGTGATCTTGTTGAGGCCCTGGCAGTCAAGGATGAAACGGTATCCCGAGCTCTTTTTGCTCACGAGGAACCAGGCGTTGCGGTGGGGGGAGGAGCTGGGCTCCATCTGGCCGTTGGCGAGACCCTTCATGATGATGTCTTTGGCAGCGCCGACCATAGCCCCGCGGAGAGGGAAGTGCTTTGAGTTGATAACGCCTCCCTCTTCCACGTAGATCTTGGTGGGCTCCTCAATAT